ATTTGCGTAGCAGTGCATTTATTACAAAACACTCACTTAGTTTTCTATAGTCAAGTTTAGGAAATGTTTGCAGAAACAAAGTAAAAGTAAACCATCCTGTCCTCATCTGTACTTTCAATGTTCACTTAGGAAAGGATTTCGAACTGAGAACTTCAGGCTTTCTCGCTTAAGAGGATGTAATCAAACGCCGGTGTGTTTAATGAGAGCCATTAGTGCTAATGGGTTACTATGGAGTAAGTCCTGATGAAGCCTCAGAGTCAAAAACTATTAGCTGTGATGGGCTGTGTCGATATCCTTATGGGATTAAGGGCACTCATTAGCGTCATAGCTCTGCGTCTGTCCTTCGAAGACATGCAACAAAAGAGCAGATGTTCAAATCTAAAACCCTTTCACAAAACTTTCATTTAGGCATCAGTGAATTGGCACTATCTAGACATAATATCTCATGACTGAGTGCTGTTTAAGGGAAATTCCTAATAAAACTAAAAGGTTATACAGTGTAATGCCTTAGATTTATATATTATACACATACATACAAGCCATTCAAAATACTTACATGAATGACCAGTTTCAACAGTTGTTCAAAATGCTTAATAATTCCAGGCATTCACTGTAAATAACCTAGACAAAAGTCATTGTTTACTTTGGGAACAACCCACCCAGTCAAAGTTGAGTTTGGTTTGGTCCAGTGAGGAAAGAGGCGAATGCCTTTCCTGTGATTTCATTATGGTGACCAGTGTGAATGAGAAGCCTAGCTTTCTCCTAATAGTAGCAATACTTTGCATCCGTTAATTGGAAGCTTGGAGCTTATTGCCTAGATTATTTTTATTTTTTTTGTGGTAAAGTTTTTTGTATGACATTTCTGCGTAAGAACCAAACGAACAACAATGCTCATTACAAGTAAGTAAAAATCTTTATGTCTGCTCATTTTTATTTTAAACGATTCTTAAGTTTTATGTCAAATTAATCTACAGTTGATCTGAGCCATTTTATGACTAAAATTGCCCTTCAGTTATAAGACCATGGTAGATTTGAGTGGTTCCATATTCTAATAAATGTGGCAGAACAAGCATGAGCATAATTTAATCGGATGAATACAACTGTTCGATTGTAAATCAGAAGAGATGTTATCAGTGAAGCCGGTGTAACATCATAATGACTTTAAAGGCCCCACTTAGTAATCAAGAGTGAATACTTTGTCACCGAAAAACAAAAGTGAGTGTATTAGAGGATGTTGCATGTTATTATTGAGCTGAATACCTGTCTTTACCTGTCTATGCTTTAAATCGAGCATTTAATTTATCAGCAATATATCTGACAATTTGCAAAGATTTGTGGAGGAGTTTCAGAGTCTCTCTTTGCACTGGCACATCTGATCTATGAAAATATTGTTGTTAGCAACCAGGAGTTACAACAGTGTGTCTGAACAATTATCCCAATGACCTCATTTTTCTGTACCTGCCAAGATTTTTTATCGAAATCAGTCCTGTCACTGATGAAATGGAGCATATTTGTCAGTCCGAAAACAGCTGTGCGAGTTCATAGTTATGGAAAATGGGTTTACATGACTCAAAAACTTTTTGTGCCACATCTGGAGATTATTACAAAGCCAGTGACTTGTCACTTTTACTCTTGACGTATGAACGCAAAAACTCACAAGACTTGAGATAGTCTCTTTGTTTTTATGTATTTATTTACGTAATATATAGATACAAAACTATACTTATTTGTATGTTTGGTTAGATGATAAATACACAGTGAAGTAAATATCGACTTAGTGGCAGCATCTAAAATCTAAGCAATAATACAAATTTACAGCTATAGAAATGTAAAATAATTACGAATTCTTTATATCACAAATATATTTATATAGTTTTTCGATATATTTTAGATCTCTATGATATCCTATCCCCATATAAAAATACAGGCATAAAAATCTACAGTGACAATAATTTTAGTTTCAATATACAATTACTTAACAATCCCTCTCCTATCTCTAAACCTAACCCTATGTATACAAATGTATAGCCTACATTTTAAAGAGAATTTGCAACAATTCATTTATTTAAAAAAAAAAAGTATAATAATAATAATAGTCAAAAAGCAGTACCAATGATGATATGTTGCATTCAAAAGTGCTCACTGATGGTACAGAACACCAGTGGTGCTCACTGGAGTTTTGTCTGGTTCAAACTAAAAAATGTAGTTGTCAATCAAATCTTATTCAAAACCACACATCAGAATAAGCAGAATGTGACAGTTGGTGGGTGCTGTATTTGTCCCGCATTACTCTGGGTAACAAAGTAGACAGTGATGAGCGCTGCGTTTTACCCAAGCGGAAACCTTCTTGTCTCTCTCTTGAAACCAATACGGAAGTGACTTAAACTGCAATTCATCGACTGACCGCTATAGACAGGCTCCAAAAGAGAGTCAATCCCATAGACCCCCATTTTAAAATGCCCAAATTTACAGCAAAAAAAATATGTGTTTACACCCTGGTGCAAAAAGTGGTTTTGGTCTATATAGCTAATTTCGCCCTTCATGACAACTGTGAGAGGGGTGAATTTTTTTATAACTCTTAAAAGTTCTGCAAGCCTTAAAGTTCTGCATAATTAAGGGCGTGGCCACTTGAGTGACAGGTGGATTGCCGCTGCTGTCACTACTAGCCGTTTGTCTGCTGTCTGATCTTCAAAAAGATTTGAATTAGGTTCTGTTCCGGACATAATGCAATCATACAGTTTTGGAAAATTTGGATTACAGTACAAGAATAAAATGGATTAGGTTCATGATCATTTTATGGTGCATTTGTGGTGTATTTTATAGGTTCATATTTAGCAAACTGCCACATCCCAAGAAAAACAAAATAAATATTACATAAGTAATGGATTTCTTTTTATTAATTTTAAATTGTAGCTTTGTTTATACGTCACACTTTGAATAGAGAGTTGTCTTGTAATAAAGTTGTTCATATGTAAATTATTTACATTTAGACGCTATCAATACGTCAATATTTTACATATTAGTATCTGAGTAATGCAAGTAAATGGGCGTGTGGTTAAACCAAATTTTACATAAAATATATACAAATATTCATGAGAACACGTTGGAGCAGCAGACCTTCTCCCTGTGGGGCGTTTGACTTGCACTGCTGTCAAAAGCCAATTTAAAAAGATTTAAAGGGAGTAAAAAATCCCTCATCGTTTAACTGGCTTATTTAAGCCGTGAATCTCAGTTATCTTTCACACATTGAATTTTACAGGTTTGTACCAACTCTACGAATGAAAATGAAGTGTGATCATCTTGGATGTGAATACAGATTTTATAAAAGTACAATGACAATTCAAAACTATTAACACATTCAGTCCTAGAAAAAAAAAAAAAAACATACTTCAACTGCTTCAACATTTTGAATGAAATGAATGAGACCAGTATTTTATTGAACTGTACTCGCACTGTATTCTGTTATTATCAAACTTAAGTACATACGTATATGCAGACAATTGAATCTTAACGCAAATATGCTTCTCTAGACTTCTCACGAAACCTTTAGTTTCTCTTAAATCTCTTGAATTTCTTCCTAAACTTATGCAAAAGCTAAAGGTTGCTCTGCTTGAGCTCCGCCAAGACTCTCAAGGTTAGAACTGTTCAAGCTGTCAGCCAAACATGATGTTCACCACCCCTCAGGGGTCCCATAGATGCTTTTCTCATGTCAATCGACTCTCTGAGTGCTCCTCTGAAGATAGGTGTTTATGGCAGTTGCTGAATCCCCAGGGGTCCTGCTGTAGCACTTTATTAGGTGGCTTCAACCTGGAGTGTCTATGTGCCTCCTGGAAGGAGGAAGGGAGGTATCAGCCAACCAATCTAACAGCGTTTTGTATCATTCATAGCTTACAGCCTGTGCAGCACGTAGCACCATTAGCCAAGACCCTCCCAGACCATTCAGATGCTTGTAGAGTACGGTGGGTGGGGGACAATCACAAGCCACATCTGTTATCAGCATCCAAACCCTAAAAGCACAACTTCCTGTAGGGCCGCCTGAGGTATTTAGAAAAGGAAGTGCCTTTCCCTGCTCAGCTCTATTAAACAGTGGAGAGGCATTGTGATACGATCACACTTATATAATTCCCATGCTAGAGTTCTAAGAAAATGGCTGGAACTGGGTAATTTGCAGAGGTAGCAGTTATTGCATCAGCTACCAGCATGAGTATGTACACATTTCCCACAAGTTGCCTTTCAGATTCTCACCCACTGTCTGAGAAACTTCTGATCTGCAATGCTCATTTATTCAGACCAGAATTCAGCAGCCCAGATAAGCTACAGTAAAGCAAGCTAAATGCAAGCCATGGTGGTAACCTACAGATTGTCTGCAACACAGCTACATGACGCCATCGCATCCAGCACAGTCCTTTACAGGCCACTTCTGCGTCAGAGCAGGGAGTGGCAGCATTAACTGGGTCCCTATGTTTACATATCTGAGCCATCTGTTCTTTGTAGCACAGATCCAGCTGTCTTCCCCTGACCCCTTCGCCACTTATGGGAAAGATAGAATCCTATGCAAGGTTTTATGGATCGCCAGTCAGTGCAAAGAAAGGATTTGTTTCCACCATCTGTTCCTGGCAGTGTTCAGTTAGGAAAAATGTAAAAAGGTGAAAGTAAATGAGTGACAGAGGAATAGAAGCAGCAAGCAAGGCTGAAATCATATGCGCCTTCTGCCTGTCTTCTTTTGGTCAACCATGTAAAAGCCAAAGACATTCAATTAGCAGCAAATTAGCCAGCCTCCACTTTTAATCCACATGAAATTAATGAAATGAGAAGATGGTTGATAAACTTGGGGTGGAATAAAATGGCTTTGTACAAAAAAATGCTCCAATTTCAATGTTAATTAAAAAATAAATTGAATTAAGTGGTAATAGTTTGCTGAATTTGCCTCTTATGTTAGCCTAATAAAAGCTAAACAACCAGAAATGACATAATTTATATGCACTGATTCTCTTTTGTAGAGATAGAAGCAAAGGGGGCATGTGATTGGCTTCATGCAGCTGGTTTTCCTCAGTATGCACAGTTATTCACCGGTAAATATTTATTTTTATCATTTCTCATTGCATACTTTAATGTGTCCTAATAAATTGCAAATATTATTGTCCTGAAATTCAATTTAATTTGTTTGCCTTCCAGATTGCTGTTTCCCTATTGACATAGACTGGGTGAAGAGTGATCATGAATTTCTGGATAAGGATGCCTTGGATTCTCTATGCAGGTAGTGCTTTTCACCCCTCGGCGGCATGAGCCCGTACTATGCTGGCGTAGAACGAGCGCTTCTTGCTAATCACAGCGGGAGGAATTTGAGGGGAACATCATGCTGTCTTCCTGTTTGACATCAATGTTTTCTTTTGCCTTCAGGAGATTAAGTACCTTAAACAAGTGCGTGGAGATGAAGCTGGAGTTGAGCCGGTCCAAAAGAAGGGTGAGTGTGAGAGAAAACTCTAGAGAAGATGCATGTAAACACAGTATATAAACAAAAGAAAGCCTGAGGAAAAGTTTCCTTCCCACCATCCTTCGCTGTCTATAACCCATTGATTTGTTCATGTAGGGAGATGAAGAGGAGGAAGAAGACCTCTATGCAATCAGCCCAAAATGGTCATTCGACAGGAAGAGCAGGCGATGGATACGTATGGATGACGGGGAGCCACTGCACTCACTGAACAGCCCCATTTCAAGTTTTAGGAGATTGGGAAGCTGTGAGGCCTCTCTTTCCGATAGCGGTGAATGCCATGAGCTTTGTTCCACTCATAGCTCTAGTAATGCTGACAGCGATGGGGGAAGCGCTCCGAACACAATGGCAGAGGAACCGGAAAAAAGTCGTAGCTCCTCCAGATGCTCCTCGAACTACAAACCCCAATCTCCCGAGACTTCTTCCAGCAGACCTCCGTCCCCTAGTGAACATCACACTTTGAGCAGTGAAGAGTGCCTTGCTGAAAAGCCTCCAGTAAAAAAAGGAAAAAGCCTTCTCCGGAAGATGGAGAAACTCAGATTAACAGGAAGCACGCTACACCCACACACCAGAAGCATAAAAGCAAGACTTGTCATAAGTGGACCAATTATCCAGGAAGGTCTTGGTGAGGAAAGGCTAAAGCATCTCCAATGTCTAGATCTAGCAAGGCTCCAAGGCAAGACTGAAAGTCCTGCATCCAGCACACCGCCCTCTGGATCCAGTAGCAGTCCCTCGGAAAGCAGCAGTGCGGTCAGCACGCCAAGCCCAGTGACCAAGGTGCGCAGCAACTGCAAACGCCCTGGGCTGACCAAACAAGAAGACAGCCAGAAGCAAATCAACGAGCAGCATTTCAACAACCAGCGCAACCTTGACGAAAACCCCATCTTTGAAATTCCCCATGGACACAAGCCAGGCACATTCCCAACTGTGCTCTCCCACAACAATGCCTTCTCACCTATCGACAACACCTCGGTCAACTGGAGGACTGGAAGCTTCCATGGTTACCGAGGTAGACAGTGTAGAAGCAGTAGCTCCAAGGACCAGGAACAAGCATGCAGCCCACTGGCTACTTGTGATCACCGCGTCAGCATTTATGACAACGTCCCAGATCACATGCAGATTTTGGATGATGACGTCTTCTCTGCTTTGGACAGTGTAATGGAACGCATTTGTGGCCTGCAGCAGTTGGTAACCTCTTGGACAGATAAGTTGTCAGAGGACGGGGATTCAGATTTTTCCCACTCGGGTTCTCCCTCACCCTCCTCTCTGACTGACATCCACCTTGAGATCAAAGAGCCAGAAGAGACGGATGAAGCTTCCCTAGAGGAGGCATACAACAAGAACCCAGAAGCATTTGCACACACTGCTCAGCCTACAGAGCATAGTGATCGGTAAGAGACACAAACTACCATTTTATGAAGGCAGCTGGAACAAGAAGTGTCTGATTGAATTCATGCTACATGCTAGGGATCTAGTGTACACGCATTTGATAAAGAGCAAAGCGTATTTAAACAAAAGTTGGTTCATTTCCTACATTTCAGAATTCAGAGGCCCCACTGGTCCAGTGCACAGATGCTTTCACTGAGTAACCCCAGCACAGGCATACAGGCAAAATCAGCACCACATGTCTCAATGCTGCAAAGACTGAGCCTTCTCAGGCTCACGGCTCTGATGGACAAGCACTCACCCTTCAGCAAACAAGGCTGGAACTGGTAAGATGGGGTGAAGATGAAAAGCAGGGGAGGGGAAGAGGGATTCCCATGCTAGAGAGTGAGAGACCTGCTGTTTAGAGATTCATTCATTATTAATGCTGAGTTGCAACCTTGGAAAGTCTCCCAGCAGACAAAATAGACAAGGTTTCAAGAATAGTGAGTGAGTGAAAATGAGAGTGAACCCTATCACACCATAGGTTGCATGACACAGCATGAGTCTTGCTCTTTCTTACCATTTTGGAAGACACTCTCACACTGTGATTCGGCCATGTGATAGCATGGGGAGATATAAATTAGCAATGGAGATTTGTTCTTTGTGAAATTGAGTCCATTGATGTCCAATTCACGAGTAACTATGGGTTCTTAAAAATTGTTTTTTCCCCCCAACTTACTTCATCTTATTAAAAATTAAAGGTGACATGTTTATTTTTTCGATGTCAAAATACTTTCTCCTATTACAGTTTAACAGGTTCACATTCCCCTGAAAAGTGTATAAACTGTTACTCTGTGGCAATACTAGAGTATTATGGAATGAATTTGTGAAGGACTAATGGTAGATGGGGGTAGTGTGCAGGAAACAGAAAACGTTTATCTATTGGCTATTGATGACACTCCCTACAAGTCAACACACATGAAGCATATTTCAATATGTTTAAGGACTCTTTGATCAGATCATTAATAGGAAATATTTGCCTTTTGCTAGCCTGATATTTTAACCCAAATCTGAGAACTAAGCTCCCAATGGAGCAATTAATAACATGTTTGAGATTACGCATTTGTGTAGTTAACTGGACAAAAAAGAACAATTGCTTAAGCTGAAGAGGAGAGGATAATTGACTTCTTGGGAGAGGAGTAATTGAGCTATTTGTTTTAACAACCATTGAGCTAACTACAAAAGAAACAACGCTTTTAAGTCTACCCCCGCATTCATATTGATCGCTTGCTTGAGTATTCAGCATCTTAACTGCGTGTCACCTCACTTGATTTCAGATAAGCCGTTCATTCAAAATCTTCAATTGTTCATTTATTTTCCTTCTCTTTTCTTCTACAATAATATATGAGACTGGTTATTGCTAATTTTTGTAGAATGCAGAGCCTCTTGAATCTAAACAATCACATTGAGACACTAGGAGTGGATATTGATATTGTCTTTAATTGAACAACCAAGCTTGATGTTGAGGAGAGTTAGGCTAGAAGATACATGAAGGGGTAATTGAGGCTAATGCTATCAAGAGAAACTAGATTGTGTGAAATTTTGAAAATCCAATTTTTGACGAATTAGTTGGCTCCAGCAAAACCGAATTTAATTGGCTTTGAAGTTTTATCTCAAGGTCCCTGAACCTGATTTATATAGAAATAATGAGAAGCAGGACTTAAATTGCTGTCAGGTTATCTTCTCTACTACACAGCCTATAGTCATGGCAGCAAGTTCACCGTCTAATGAAAAAAGGCCTTTCATAATGTAAATCAATATGGGCTTTGCTAAACGAAAAGGACAGTTCGAAATTCATCACGAGCCTTTCGCCAGCAGGCCAATATGTACTCAAAGATTAAAACCACTACATCCATACTAATTGCTTTATTTCTTTACTACTAGATTCCTTAAGCTCATACAGAGAAAACAACAAGAAGCTTATTACAACAAACAAATGAAATGTCAGTTCAACACATGCAAGCACTTATCACTGATGCTGATGTGCATGAGGGCCTCACAACACTGCTAATACGATTAATGTGATCCGCTAAATATGCTGCGACTTCTACTTTCAATTTAGCACAACACTTCATTATCTCAGACAAATGTAGGTGAGAAATGCAAGTGACCATCTAAAAATACATCATTCTGCACTTCTGCCATTCTAGGACTGTGCCAAAAGTCTACCGAAAGGTTAAACCTTCAGAACATAAGAGCAGAAAGGTGTTTGAGGTGCCTTTGCTCCAGAGTGTCCAGCAATCGGGAAAACCTTTGCCACCAAGCATTTTGACAGCAATGGAGTTCTTAAGGACAGAGTGCTTGGATCAGGTATGCCATCCAGTCACCAACCAAAAATAGAGGCTGTTTCAATAAAAGCTGAATGTACAAAAGTTAAATTTGCATAATCATCCACAAATTAAGCTTATATTGAACAGCAGTTATTCTTGCTAAAGGGAAAACATGACTCTACATCAGTATTATTCTCATAAACAGAAATGGTCATTAACAACAAATAAATACTGCATCTCAAAGAGAGCAAACATAGTACTTCAGAACTACTAGTGGATACTCTGCCAGGATACAGCAAATTTGACCTGAGACAGTGAATTTCAGATTGTGCATAAATATACGTAGAGTCACGTTTTTTTTCCCATGAGACTAGACATGCTGAATCCATATCTGCACTCTATAGATGTGATTCATGACTGATGTGTTATTGACTGAGTTTCTACCCATGTATATTTTATGATAATTACAGTAGAATAAACTGCATCATTTTGGTATGTAACAGTTTGTTCCCTTCGCCAACACATATCTCGTTAAACCTGACAGGTTGGGCTCTTCCGAAAGTCTGGGGTCAAATCCCGCATTCAAAATTTAAGGGACATGGTGGAGGCTGACCCCGATGGCGTGTCCTTTGAAAATCAGTCGGCTTTTGATGTCGCTGACATGGTGAAGCAGTATTTCAGAGACCTACCTGAACCCATCTTCTCCAGCAAACTGTGCGAAAGCTTCCTGCACATCTACCAATGTAAGCCAGCATAAGTTGAAACCAAGCAAAACATTTAACTCAATCTACTGTAGTTACATCAAGAGTAAAAAAAACTGTTGAATTTGATTGTTTTGAAACAAAGTGAAGCATCTGCTTCCAAGCTTTTATTCTGCATTTATGATTTCCCTACAGACTTCCCCAAAGATCAACAGTTTGCGGGGGTTCAAGCAGCCATTTACCTCCTGCCTGATGAGAACAGGGAGGCTCTTCAGAGCCTCCTCCTTTTCCTCCAAGAGGTGGTCGCCTGCGTGGAGGAGAACCAGATGACTCCAACCAACATCGCTGTGTGCTTGGCGCCCTCTTTGTTCCACCTCAACTCTTTCAAAAGAGACAGAACCAGCATGAGGTAGAGTTAAGCAGTCAAAACTATAATCAGTTGCATTGTAACGATTACATAACATTTTATATTTTAAATATAATATTGCATTGGTGCCCATAGCTTTGTTCTGAACGTCCAATACACATTTTTATTGTAACCAGCTCCAGATGTTATGCACCATTTTGGCAATACTTAAGGCTTGTCATCTTTCACAATAAAGATTACATCAATTTCAGTCGAAAAGTCAAAATCTTTTTTCACCGTTTTGTATGGCACAATTGTTGGGTCAGTTTTGTGGGAGAGCTGCTTATGTAACAGCGCAGTTCAACATCTGGCTTTAATTTCACAGATAAGGGAGATATTGTATCTGTAATACAGTTCAGCTGGTTAATGAAACACTGGAAGAGAGAGAGCGCACGCGCGAGAGAGAGAGAAAGTGTGAGGCAAGAACGTCTGAAAGATAGATTCTAGAAGAAATTGGGATTAATATTTCCAAATCTGGTCCCTTCAAACTTTAATTCTGAGAAGATAAGGACTAATGTTTGGCATATGTTCCACAACAAGTTATCTAATACTTTTGGCACTGAAGTATAGGGATGCTATAGACACTAGTTTTTTTTCTGGAGTGTCTTGAGGGTAAAGAGGAAACTGAGACAGTTACGTCAAATTCCTGCCTGGGCAAACACATCCAAGAGGCTGACTTGAAGGCAATTGAAGAAACTCCCCCTATTTCTGCAAGCCAGCTGCCACGGAGCCAACAAGCTCTCTTTGCCCTCCCGCTGAGCTGTGGATGTGCTATGCACTGGAGATAACTTTTCCATGCTTAGATTCAGTGCACTGCTATAAGAAGAACCACTAGAAAACAAACAAATTGACTAAATGTGTTGTGAAATGAAATGCAGTCTTTGTGTCAGCAAACCCATCCCTCATTTCAAATTTTCTAGACAAAAAACATAAGAGAACCCAAGTGTCTTATCATATCAATACCCCTTTTCCCTCTAGGTCCCTGGTAAAGCATACTATAGGAGAGAGTGTTACTAATTTGGAAGGCAGCAAAGGTGTTTTAGTCAGCTCTGTGTGAAATTTGTGCTATTTTCTGCTTTTGGACACAGGTCTAGACAAAGGAAATACAGCTTGGGGAGGCCAGACCAGAGAGATCTAAGCGAGAACCTGGCTGCAACACAGGGACTGTCGCATATGGTTTCTGAATGCTCTCGCCTTTTCCAGGTACAAAGCATCATGTGCATTGAGTTTAGTACTAATGACTATCAGCACTTCCAGCTGCATGCAATCTCAACATGCTTACTGTGCGTTCACACCGGACGCGAATAGCGCGTCAAATTCGCGTCTACCGCGTCTAGTTTGACGCTTGACCACTTTGTGTTAATTCGCGTGTCAATGGCGAAATTGACGCGCGTAAAAACAAAAGTTTGAAGCGAAATTTACGCGCGTCAGAGGCGAAATCCGGAGGCGAAAGTTTCGAAACCCGTTGGCGGCCATCTTTTTTTTTTAGATGTTTATCGAGCATTAGCATTAGCATTATTCGAGAGAGTCACCGCTCGTATATGCTCTGGAGAGCAGAAGCAGCTCCGTAGGGGACATCGTCGCTGTACTCGGGTCCACCAGAACCTCCGGAGGGTTTCAGGAGTTTCACAATTTGCTCCAGGAGCTAGGTTTGGTGGACCTAATGGTGAGGACGCTGACGAGGACAGCGTAGGCCGTATAAGCCCTCGGCCTCGAGTGGTCTATGCCTGTCGAGCCCTCGCTCTACAGCCCGGCGCGAGGTTCACCCTCGCCCGCATCCACCTAATCTGTCATTTATTTTTGTTTTGATAATAAATGAAGCCAGCCTCCAAAAGTGATTAATCTGTCCTGTGATTTTTCTCTCTCTCTCACACATCACTGTCCAGACACGAACTTATATGTTGGTTGTCTTTACATTATAATAATATTTCATATAATCTAGATATGGAATAAATAGCATTCAATGCAAAATGAATATGTCTCATATATTGAAATCAAGTTTTATGTGATAAAATATTTGCTTTGTTGTGCATTAGAACCACAGTCATATATTACAAAATAATTTATTGAAGCATCCAGATACTTCACCACGTGACAGCAGCAAGCAGCTAGGCTCCTGATTGGTTAACGCGGCGCGAATTGACGCAGAAGTTCAGATTTTTCAACTCGGGCGGCAGACGCGAATTCGCGTCAAACGCGTGAATGCACAAATAGCACTAACTAAATCATTCGCGCGTAACGCGCTTAACGCGCCAGACGCTCAATTCGCGCCATTCGCGCGAACTTGACGCGCGAATGAGGCGTATTCGCGTCTACCGCGCCGCGCTCTACGCCTCATTCGCGCCGCAGGAATTTTTTACGCGCGTAACGCGTCTTTGCATTGACTTAACATTGAAATCACTCGCGCCTGACGCGCTATTCGCGTCCGGTGTGAACGCACCATTAGAGCTCTGTTGCACAACTGTTTTTTTTTTGTTGTTGTTGTTGATTTTTTAACCCAGGTGTCATAAGGGGGAAAAAGTTCCAAACTAGGGGTATTACAAAATACACACACACACTATTTCATGTATGTATTTGATTAGTTATTCTGTATTTATTCTGTATATAACTTGTATTTAGATATTAAAATTATTTAATTATTTATCCAGCTGAACAGAAATTATTAAATCAATGTGCCACATTTTTTAATAAGACAATTTGTAATGTAGTTTTGGAAAAACAAAAACTACTACTACTACTTGTACATAAAACAAAAAATATTTTAAACAATTTATATATATATATATATATATATATATATATATATATATATATATATATATATATTATACTTTATTTTCTCTTCTGACCAACATAATCAATCTCTCAATATTGTGGATTTGTTGTTCCTATTGGAGCAAGTGGGAACACAAAAAATATATTTCTTGTAGTTTCCATCCACCACTATAGAAGTTTATAATGACTTCTGCTTCTGAGAACACCTGAAATGTGAAAAGGGTTTTTTTTTTTAAAAAGCCAAATTTGTATATATATATGAAAATACACTCACCAGCCACTTTATTAGATCCACCTTAATAGTACTGGGTTGGACCCTCTTTTGCCTTTAGAACTGCCTTAAAACTTGGCAGATTCAACAAGGTGCTGGAAACATTCCTGAGTCTTTGGTCCAAATTTGGTTCACATGATAGCATCTTGCAGTTGCAGCAGATTTGTTGGCTGCACATCCATGTTGCGAATCTCCCCTTACACCACATCCCAAACAGGCTCTATCGGATAGAGATGATTTGAGCTTTGTGACAAAGCGCATTATCCTGCTGTAAATAGCCATCAGAAGATGGGTACATTGTGGTCATACAGAAATGGACATGTTCAGACACAATACCCAGGAAGGCTGTGGAGTTTAAACGATGCTTATTTGGTAATAAGGGGACCATAGTGTGCCAAGAAAACATCCCCCACACCATTACACCACCAGCAGCCTGAACCGTTGATAAAAGGCAGGATGCTTTCATGGTGTTTACGCCAAATTCTGACCGTACCATCTGAATGTCGCAGCAGAAATCGAGACTCATCAGACCAGGCAAAATTTTCCCAATCTTCTTGTCCAATTTTGGTGAGCCGGTGCAAATTGTACACACAGTTTCCTCTTCTTAGTTGACAGGAGTGGCATCCAGTGTGGTCTTCTGCTACTGTAGCCCATCTGCTTCAAGGTTCGATGTATTGTGCGTTCAGAGATTCTCTTCTTGTAAGGCGTGATTATTGAAGTTACTGTAGCCTTTTTATCAGCTCTAACCAGTCTGGCCATTCTTCTCTGACCTCAGGGCGTCAACAAGGCATTTTTTGCCCACAGAACTGCTGCTCGCTGGATATTTTCTCTTTTTTTGCATCATTCTCTGTAAACCCCAGAGATGGTTGTGTGTGAAAATCCCAGTAGTTTCTGATATACTCAGACCAGCCTGTCATGCACCAACAACATCATGTTCAAAGTCACTTAAAATCACCTTTCTACCCCATTCTAATACTCAGTTTGAACCTCAGTAGATCGTCTTGACCATGTCTACATGCATGGAGTTGTTGCCGTGTGATTGGCTGATTAGATATTTGCGTTAACGAGCAGTTGAACAGGTGTACATAATAAAGTGGCCGGTGAGTGTATATAGCTGCCTATATGTTTTATTTAAAGGGGTCCCTCACAATGGTTACTAGACTAGTCAAAGTGAAACCTATACCAAAGCTTCTTAAGGGGCTGGGAAATTTTATATGCAAGCATGTGTATATAAGCATGCGGGGGCGCTAATGTGTATATAAGCATGCGGGGGCGAAATTTTATATGCAAGCATGTGTATATAAGCATGCGGGGGCGCTATATAAAACATATAACATTTATATCTGTCATCAATACAGATACCGAAATACTGGGAAGACCAGGGAGCAGGCAGCTTTACCGAAGATTCACAGCAAAATGATGCAGGTCTAAGTTCTGTGTCTCACTGTGGAGAAAATGAACTTCCAGACCGTGCCAGGCTGTTTCTACTCACACAAAAACTCTTGAAGGAGGTCAGAGACAAGTCTAAAGGGTGGATATCCTGTTCAAGCTGTGATCATGTGGATGTGGCGGTTAAAAAGGTTTGTATGTACTCCTCCAACTTACATCCTAATATTGGGTTTAGAGACCCAAATTAGACTCTACTCGCATTCCCGCCTCTAGAGAAAGGAGTCCAAATATATTATGCGCACAAAGGATGACTTTGTGCCAAAGCCATATAATCAGTTGCGATCAAACACGTAGTTTCAGTTTGCACTTGCAATTCATCTTTATAAACGTCCTGCAAACCAAGATAAGAAGGTGATGACTCTAATGTATTTTTTGAAGGTGGAGGATGGTTACCCTTTGCGACTGTGGAGAGGAACGACAGAATTGGATGCTCCGCAGCAGGAAGTCTTCCACCACGTGTTACGAGAACAGAGTCAGTGGCAAAGAGACCTCTTGCATAGCGAGGTGGTGGAGACACTGGACAAGGATGCAGATGTGTACCATTACATACTTCAGGCTGCAGGGGCCCGACCACCACTGCAGCATGTTCTGTTAAGGTAAAGAGTTACTGGAGAATTTGGGGTAACATAGGGTGTACTCACAACTAGGCGATCTGAACGGTCCCCGAGAACGTTTGACCCCCAAAGTTAAGGTCTTTTGACAACTCAACCGTGCCTAGCGTGAGTTCGCCCTTATTCTCAATGACTTTTATTTACAAATATAAATTTGTAGATTGTAGATTATTAGATATGCGTCTAATTTTTGTCACAAGGTGCTTTTAAAGTTTATGGGCCCTATCATACACCCGGTGGAATGCCGTGCCAGGCGCGACAAGTGTGTTTGGCTAGTTTCAGCCTGACGCAGTTATCATTATCACATCGTACGCCACGTTGCTTAAAAAGCAAATGCATTTGCGCCCCTGGGCGTGCTGGTCTGAAAAAGAGGTGTGTTCGGGCGCATTGTTGGCGTGTTTCTATTTTGAGGCAACTGAATATAAAAAAATATTGCGCCATAGACCAACCAATATTTTTTTTGTAATTTAAATAGCGTTTTAGTAATGTGCGCCTATAGGCGGGTCCACAACGCGTGTACACTTCGTCCCGTAGATGGTCTCCTCGCGCGAATAGCGAATCCGCCGTGCCACGAGCGCAACTGGCCCTTTAAAGGGAATGGGAGATGAACTCTGATTGGTTTATTGCACCTCACGGCCAAAACACACCCATTACTCATTAAGAGAATAGGGACAACCCTTTTAGACCATGCGCCGGGGGCGCCGACCATTTTTCCCATCGTTAAACTAGAAAAAGTGGATTCGGACACACCATAAGTGCACTTGCGCCGTGCACTTTAGACCATGCGCTTAGATCGTTAAAATAGGGTCCTACAGTATATGTTATCATCCCTAATGATAACAATTCAATAACTGAGGGGAAATTGAAAACTATTACAATTGAAAACTTAGCAATATTTAGAAGGTCAAACGTTAAACAGAACTTGAGGCTTATCACCCAAAGGCAATAAAATACTTTGAAATGGGATGACGCTCACAGAATGAATTGAGAGCAAGAGCTTTGCACTTCATATTCAAAGGTGTTTCACCTTTGCATAATTCCCTGCATTAGCATCTGGGACAAATTATACTGATGTCTAAAATACCTTGCTGGAATGATAATAGGTGAACATTTCAGCAGAAAATTGAAACTTAACACGGGTTCCATTCCATCCTGGATTTAATTTTGCAAATTCGGTGACAAATTAGCAGAGTAAAGAGTAAATCCCTTAACAACGGCACCTCATGACATGCACGCCACTGCTCGTGTAATCCCGTTAACCGCTGCCATGGCTGTAATCCAGCCACCCCACATATCAATGCGCTTGCACTCCTGGTGTCACCCTACATGATCCTTTCAATTACAACTTGTCCATTCTTTTCCTGCAGGACGTGGCAAACGGATCATCCCACAGGGTCTATGTTTGTGTCCTCCACCTCGGTCGAACATGCCGCTGTGGCTGTCAGAGGAGTACGGGCGCAAGTTTTCTGCAGCTTCTTTTTAATCGAGCCGCTGGGGTCAAAAAAGTCAAGAGTCACGCACCTCTGCCGGACCGACACGAGGTGTGTATCTCAAACAAAATCGAGAATAGAGGCTAAAAATCCGAGCACAAAGGCTCCAAATTTATGGTTGACTCAAAGATTTTGTTACTTTTACAATCAATTTGTTCCCTGTTGGTCTACAAGAGCCCCTCTAGATTCATATTTTAGGGTAGACTCAATGAAACACAGGGATGTAATACAGAAAACTGTATGTCATTGAAAATTGAGATGCGTTCCTGGGGATGTGATGTGACAGCGCAAACATGCGGCACAATCATTGAGACATATTATATTACCTCCACCGGCTAGAACTTGTCTAGCTAGCATATTTGAGAGTGCAGGTGAAGGGAGACACTATACGTTATTGTGATTGCAGCATGTATTTGTCCTGTCAAAACAAAGTTGGCATTATATTGCGGCATATTGATTGGTGGGTTGGGAGCGTTTTGAAAACGGGTTTCAAAGTGCACGTTTTTTGAAACCGATACCATTATCGTTTAAATGGTAATTTGTCAAATCAGTGACGTCTTTACACAGTGCACATACGTATTACGTGTTCAGTCTACAGGCGCTTAGTGTTTCTTTACAAAGTGACACCGCCAACTACTGGCCTGGCAGCAGAATACAGTGTTTTTAGTCGTTTTAGCGGATCCGTCTGAACAGGGATCGTTTTCGCGTTTCGTTGTCGTCTGTACGTGAAAAAGACAAAGGATAGTTTCCATTTTTAGTACATCGTTGTCGTGTAAACATACCCTTAGACAATATGAGGTCTGACATGATATGAGCAAATAAATAAATCTCACTTTTACAAACCTGCTACGAAGAAAACACATGAAATATTATATTTACAAACCTGATTTAAAAGATATAGCTAAAAAAAATTACATTATAAAATTATATTATAAATACAAATTTTTGAATGTAAAATATATTAAAATAATTGTATTTATTTAATATAGTTATAATGCAAATGTAAACAAACATTTAAATCAAATTCAATAGATTTCTGGAAATTTGTCTTCGTGTGAATGGACAAATTGGATTATACATTTTTTTCTTCTTTTGGGATGCAGTGTGCTCGTGACGTGTTGAATGCTGAATTAGCGGTTTCTGGCTTACAATAGACCTGAACGTGAAGCAATGTCTGACATGCTAATGACAACCACAGCGAGACGTCATGAATGGACGTGACAAATGACAAAAGTTTCAGTTTTAGAATCTGATATTGACAAATAACAAATAAGTGTGAACAAAGTCTTAAAGTAAACCTGTCTTACTCTTCAATCTTTAAAGCTTCGGTTTACGTTATGATGCGACATGAACCCCTATATTGACTTTTCACTCTTTTCTCTTTCATCAGAGGTCGATCTCCAGAATGGCACCATAAAGTAGGAGGACACCTGGTTTCATCTGTGTTGATGGCCATGAGAGACTCTTTTAGACACAAAACAAAAGACTCAAAGCATAGTAAGGACTCCTAAGAGTAATTTGTTAAACCCCAGACAGCTTTACAATCCCCGAGCTATGAGTGAGCTAAAAAAAAACAAAGAAATAAAGTGCGTGTGAGCGAGCGAATGAGCTCCAAAGCTCTGAGATAATGAAGTGAAATCTTCAAAGTTGTTCCAGAATCTCGGTACCGTAGAGAGTTACGGAACCATTTCAATGCAAAGACAATTCAGCCTGCAGACAAGGAACAACAACAGTGTGATGAGGTGTTCCAAGAGAGCCGGTGAACTTTGCATTATCAAGACTGACAAGAGAGAGTGTCAGAGTAATGAAATGTCTCATCCTATTTAAAGGACCGTTCCACGGGATAATGCGTTGCAGTGGTTGACTCTCAAACTCTCAACTCCAGCTGTTTTTAAGCATTAAAGGATGGACTGGGTGACTTGATCTGGAACTATATCACTCTGAAGACTCGACTGCAGTGTCATTCTTGTGTACACCTTCATCATAAACATGAGAAATACAAGGGCAGATTAGCCATGTTGTGTACAGAAGCCGAGACACTGATTTAAGCAGGCGTGTTTTTCAGTTGGAAGCTGCCATGTTCGCTTTTATTTATTTGAGAGCGTTAAAAGATTGTCTGCTCGACCATTTGGTGATATATGTGACCTGGCACATTATTGCATTATAATTATTTTGCATTTTACTATCCTAGAGTTATGAACTATATGATAAAATTGTGATGCTACACATTTGATCAATCAAAATGTCATAATTATACTATAAATATTGACTTTATAAGAGCAAGTTCTAATATAACTTATATTTTTGTGATGGAATTGTTGATATGTTACAGATTTTATTTAAATATATATATCATTGAAGTACACCATGGCTTGACATGACTTATTTCTTGATGCTCTGATGAATTCTTATTTATTACATGACTTTATGGAATACTTGATTCTGATTGGTCAATCACTAGCCTGACTGCTTTTTACATTGTAATACACTATTTTAGTTCTTATCTGATCTTTAAAGGGTTAGTTTACCCAAAAATGAAAAATATCCCATGATTTACTCACCCTACACCCACCCTATAGGTGTACGGTATATGACTTTGCTTTCTCACAACCAATTCGAACGAATTCGTACGAGTGAGTAAAAGGTGGCTAATTCGTACGATCTCACTCGTACGAATTCATACTATTTGTCTAAACCCCAGTGATAGGTAGGTTTAGGGGCGGAGTCAGGGATGGGTCATTCGTACAAATTCATACAAATTGGGCAACTCGTAAAATATGTACGAGTTCGTACATTTTTTGCTAAATCATACAAGTGAGGTCGTATGAATTCGTACGAACTAGCCACCTTGTAAAAGGCGTATGAATTGCTGTGAAATCAGGTTGGTCAAACACAGAGTTGAAAATAAACCCATGAAGTATACGGATGCCCTTAGAGTAGCTTAGAAGAAAACTAATGGATTCACCAAGACTCGGCCAGGTAATTAAGTGTCCAGATCTTTACTTCTGATCTCAGACCTGAAATTATCAAGAAAATCCCAGTTGCAAAACATCCAAAGAGTAAATAACCACTGACCCTGCGAGTGAATTAAATCATTCCTCTTAATCTTCATACAGATTATCAGGAGCGGACGCTGCATTTATCACCCACAACTAATTAAATCCTAATGGCAAGAGAAAAACAAACACTGAACTCTATTAAAAATCTTAAATGAAATAAGTTACTATCTCAAACTGAATAATGCTCCGAAAGCCTCGAGCGAAAGCAGACACAGAAATACACCAGTGAATACAAACACATTACAAAATTGATTTATTGCATTACAATTCAAGGGAGAACAATATTTTATGCATATTGTGGAATGAAAAGTCCAAAAGCAAAATGAGCAAAGCTGTTGTTGTTGTAAAATCTTGAGGTCAGGGGTGTCCAATCCTGCTCCAACCCCAATTAAACACACCTGAACCAGCCAATCAAGGTCATACTAGAAACTTCCAGGCAAGTGTGTTGAAGTTGGAAGCAAGTTGGAGCTAAACTCTCCAGGGCTATGTGTCTGAAATCGGAACTTGAAATTTAGCAAACTGGCGGCTCCAGTAGTAATGACAAGATTTAGTCATGGAAACCATGCATAAACCTTAATTAAACAGTTTTTTAAAAATGAATTAAAAAGGAATTTATACCTATAAGATATTACGGTTTTGGAAACCGGATAAACGGATGATTCGGCTGCAGTCGCCATCTTCTGTTCAGATGTGGGAATTCATTCGCCACGTGACTCTCACAGTGAATTCTGGGTATTCTCTAACCGTTGAGCGTACATCAGTTGTACACTCGTTATTTCGGTGCATTGTGGGATTGAATGAGTGCACTCGATAACGTCCACTATGGTTTTGGACACCACTACAAATGGCTGTCCCCTTAAATAGTGCCCTATTTAAGGGTATAGGGGGCGATTTTGGACACAGCGCAGGACAGTGGTCCTCCAGGACTGAGTTTGGACACCCCTGCTTTAGGTAAACCAAAATTAGGTGAGCTAATTCTTACTGCTAGACTAAAATAAGATTCAGACTTGTTATATAGAAGGGAAAGGTTGAACAGATTGACTTTTTGGCAGTTTTCAGGGTCCAGTTGGCTAATCTGACATTTATGTGAGGAGAAATGACCAGGAAAATCAAAGTATTTTTTTATGGACAGGCGAATGACTTTTATTTGGCATACCATAAGAATCCGTCGGGACATCTATGTTTTTGAGAAAAAGGTCTTGTGTTCAGAGGAGGAAGGCATTGATCAATTCACATCCTCTGAACTGGATTGATACCCAGAATGTCAAAGCCTTTGGCCATCACAGCTGCGGTGGCTTCACAGAGGAGCATCCGCCACATGTTGACTTTGACCACTTCCCCTGAGGAGAATGATTTAGAGCAGTCATTAGTCAAACAGGCCATTTTCAAAGAGGCAGGTTCATTTCAATCAAATCAACAACGTTTAGTCACGTCTTGGTCATTAAAGGCAATCTATTAAACTTGGGGGGGAAAATCTATCTTAGAATACTTTCTGAATTTTAAGAAATTAAAATTTCTTAAATTTAATTTAATTTAATTTTTAGAAAGTTTACCCTCTAAACTTTAGAAAAAAAAGTCTAATGCACTTCCAATAAAAACAGTTACAAAGCCTTTATTATAGTTTTGGCTGGTCACAATTGGACATTAAAAATGTTTTTTTGTGTAACTGAGCAGTTAATTACCATTTTTGGTTTCTGACACAATCTGAGGAAGACTTTATGCAAAAATGCATCAATGTGCAGTTTTTTGTTTTGGACATTTTCAATGCCCAAATGTGACCAATTTCTGTTGTTTCAATAACGTTTCACTTCTTTCCAGCAAGTAGCATTCCAAGATGTTTCTTTCAAGATTAACTTTTTTTTACTAGTTTAAAGTGTATTTTGGGTTACTAATGTGTCTCACTGTTCGGGAAATTAGATAATTATTTTTGCATTTGGTGCCACGGAAATGACATTTTACCTTTAAATCCATGAGCTTTTAAAGCACTGTGCTTAAACAAAAGGAAACCCAAAAGTCCCACAAGCAGCAGTCTTTTTCAAACTCATAGTACAGCTAATTTCATTAGTCTATATTAAAAGACTAAAGAAGCTGTACGATTCAAGAGACAGTAGCTTCATCAGCGCCTAAGTAACTAGTTTTTAATGAGGAGATTCAAATGGGAGAAAAAAACAACTAAGGGATTTTCTATCTGATATTATCCTAGATTAGATTTCCCTCTTCAAATGAATCATTTGTTGTTCGTTAAAACGTATTGCAACAGTGAAAAACAAAGTTATTAAATTACATCTAAACTAAAACTCCTCTATTTAGCATCTTTCATTGCAGTATAAAAGTTTATACTGGCCTATGAGTTGAAACTAATTACATTTCTGGACCAATTACACTCCTGACACATCTTCTAAAGAGCAAACACCATATGCTCCAAGTACATGAACTTATTTAACCATTAAAACCTCAAGGTTTTGGGCACCGAATATGGTTTTCTTTCTGGGCGAGCTACACTTATTTTTAGTCATCACTGTCAGAGAAAGCGTGGAGTATATAGATTCCGCTCGCGTCTGGCTTCAGGGTACCCACCTGTCTGCCGGTCCTTCTCCACGCAGTAGCAGCTGTCGTAGAACTCTGTGAAGGTGGTGGCCAGCTCGTAGAGGTAGTCGCACAGTGTGTGAAGCAGCAGGTCGTCTGTGATCTTCTGCAGAATCTCGGGGAAGCGCAGGATGCACTTACCCAGTTTCCACTCTTTCTCATGGTCCAGTAAGACCTCTGTGGTCTCGGCTGCTTTGCGCAGGACGGCCTCCTGGATGTTAGCCAGTCTAGCGATAGACCTGGAGGTAGACAGAAGAAGAATGTGTCTTATAAAAGATACTATACATTTCTGCATGGTCAAACTTGGCACATCATGTTCGGTTGTGAGACATGAGTGAACCGACTTGAGTTCGGAGCAAATTTACTTTAATTTACTTTAGTTTTTGCTTGTTCAGTGTTTTAGTTTTGATTATGTTTTTTTTTGGTTTCAGTTTATTTTAGGGCTGCCAAAATTTACACTGCCTATACTGCGTATCATTTAAAAATGCTTAATGCCGTTAATATTCTAAGTAATATGTGAGGGTATTTTAAAAACGTATTTAACAATTTTGATGCCATGAAAATGTATTTTAGGGGCTGTTTACACGACACCGTTATGTAGTCATCAACGATAACTATGCTGCCATGCGCAAATGACATTTTAGAGGTAGAGTGTATAAAAAGGTTTTTAAGAGAATAATAATTTAAATTTAAATAATTTAAACATCTGTTTCTCACTAATTTCACAAAAAAAGGCTTCACAAAACTTCAGAAAACAGCTCATAAGTCATGTGAAACACTTTTATGATGCTTTTTTTTGTCCATTTTGGATCTTGACAGCCACCGGTCACTGATAACGAACGCATGGGTTTTGAAGAACAACTTCTTTGTTGGGTTTTTAATTTTCAAACAAGTCAACTATTGGTCAACTATTGAGATCAACACAGGATGACATCAATGCAAATGGCCAAACAAAAAGTTAAACGTGCACAAAAAAAAAGAAAAAAGAAGAAGAAGTGACATTTAACTGTAGCAACAGCTCACATAAATAAGAAAACATGTTACAAGAAAGAATCACCATGACTAAGTGTCTAAAAGGCCTTTCTGCCAGAGAAATAGAGGATCAGGTTATATTGGATGGATTCTGAGAAACAAAACACTGAAATCCCCATCAACTGCTGCCATGGCCAATTATAATTTTTTTGGCTCCTTCTCCTGTCATTGGCTCTGATTTCTACCTTCACTTCTCCCAAATATGATTTTCTGTTACCAATTGTTTTGAACAGCCAATCAAAGACAGGAAAAAGCTCTCCACGAGAGCCATGAGAGGGATTGTGGTACCCTACGCTTCTGACATCAGGTCAACAGCCCTACTGAGACAGAAGAGCAAACACAAGGTGATAAAGACTGAGAATAATAGAGCACTTGTGCCGAGCATCCACTCGGGGGCCAGCAGAAGTGGATCTGTCACAAACGCACACATTTCAGCCAGAAAACACACTGACTGCAGCAGATGCATGCATTCTTTCATGTGCACAAGGCCCCCGTTTCCCACACACATACCATTTCCACACAGCAGCACGGTTAAAACTGCCAGGAGAACAAATAACCAATAACCGTTGAGAATGAACATGAAGGGCCATTCCACAGTGTTGGTGAGCTCTTTCCCTACATCCATGTGGGAATCATTCAGGCCAACGTTTCCAGCACAGACCCACGTAAAGATATCCCAGAAGGCGTATATCAAAGCCCAGAAGGCCTCACCTGAAGCAGGCAAAGATGGCTCAATACTGTAGAAGACAATACAGGACATAAGAAAGCCATTCAATGTCCATAGCTTGTTAGTCAACTAAAAAAAATAACTTTGCTCAAAACAGTGGAGATGATTGTGGACTTTAGTGACTTCAGTGGAGCCATTCAGGTTCCAAGGCATCACCATCTCTCAGGGCCTGAAGTGGGACAATCATATTTGCAATATTGCAAAAAAGGCCCAGCAAAGGTTGTAGTTCCTTCGCCAACCTGCCACAAGAGCTGCTGATATACTCCTCTGCACTTCCATAACTGTCTGGTTTGGCTCAGCCTCAAAATCAGACATCAGAAGACTACAGAGGACCGTTTCGGACTGCTGAGAGGATTACTGGTGCTCCCCTGCCCACCCCTCCAAGAACTGTACATCCATGGACCATGGGTGAGGAAAAGGGCTCCGAAAATTACTCTGGATCCCTCACACCCCTCCGGCTGGCAATGAGCACCAGAACAGCCAGGCACAAGTTAAGTTTCTTCCCCCAGGAAATCTACATCATGAACAGTTAAATGTTCTCCCCACTGTACAATGTGCATTACCACTTACATTTATTTGACAATATCCTGTACATACAAATTTGTCCATTTTTGTTTAATAATGTGTGTGTGTGTGTGTGTGTGTGTGTGTGTGTGTGTGTGTGTGTGTGTGTGTGTGTGTGTGTGTGTGTGTGTGTGTGTGTGTGTGTGTGTGTGTGTGTGTGTGTGTGTGTCTATCTGTACTATCTGTGTATTGGAAGCTTCTTCTATCACCAAAACAAATTCATAATAAACAAAGCTCTTTCTGATTCTGATTATTTATGTATGTTTGAATAAATCTGTCATGAAAACAAGTTGACAGCACCGTTTAAATGTTTGTATTCAAACAATGAATTGGAGTACAAATTATTTAATTAAAAACGGCCTTAAATGCAATGTCACTGTTTGTATCCAACAAAGCCTATATAGAAGTGTTGAGTATATCTAGAAATAAACAAAAAGTTTATTTCTAGATATAAAAAAATATCTACAATATGACAGGGAGGATATCCTGATTAGTTTACAGTTTTAGTTGAGATTGGGGGGGGGGGACATACTGTACCTGATGTATCAACACCCGGCTCTATATAAGAGTGTCCATGATAAAGAAAGAGGAAGTGTCATTTTGTATATTTGTTTCATATGGTAAAAAAAAATCAAGGCAAAAAGTGTAATGTGTATATATATATATATATATATTTTTTTTACCATATGAAACAAATATACAAAATGACACTTCCTCTTTCTTTATCATGGACACTCTTATATAGAGCCGGGTGTTGATACATCAGGTACAGTATGTCCCCCCCCCCCCAATCTCAACTAAAACTGTTATATATATATATATATATATATATATATATATATATATATATATATATATATATATATATATATATATATATATAAAAAAACATAAATAACACATACATTTTTGGCCAGTCGCACCATATCAGTTTGTGCAACCTGAACTATTGTGTCATGTAAAGATAAAATTATGTGATATTTTAAAAGATTCTTTAAGAGATTCAAGACAAGAGAGTCTTGTGGGGTTTTTTCTACATTTAGATGATGGTCGCACCACATGACTGACAATTGGCAGACAACATTTTTATTATTAATAAGCAGTTTTGTCAAAAATTCTTCACTAAAAAACTACTAAAAGTTTTCATTAAATATCAGGACTTGAACACTGATATCTTCAGTTTCAGTGTTCAGTTTATCAGTTTTATGACCATAACATTGTTTTATTTTAAGCCACCAAAAAAAAAAATATATATATAAAATAAATTTTAACAGAAAACACACTCATCGTAGAAATAGAAGTATGAATTTAATATAACCTTTCACACGTAAGTTTAAAATATTCTAACTGATCCCGTGAACTGAGTTTTTCTAGGCGACCGTTATTTAGAACCTGTCACTTTAATGTTTCCATAGTGACGCGTCATTGCTTGTCACGTGAGACAGCGCAACCACAACAGCGCTGAATGAATGATGATCTGCTTTTGTGTCATTTTTCCTTTTTTATTCAAAATATTCACAAATGTATTCGCTATAACATGAAACTGATATTCCGATTGTCAAATATGTGCAAGTGGATGTGTTTTGTTGTTTAAACACCTTTATAACGATCGCGTTAGTTGAGCTGTATGTGCGATGGGCGGAGCCATTTTAGTTTACAACACGTCCAGTCCTCAACTTCTCAAGAATTACATAAAAGTAAGTGGCCGGTGAACTGGGAGAAGAATATGGTCAAATGTAAAGCTACTTACACAATGTGTATCTGATATGAATAAAACGTGTCGTCGTCTTATAATGGAAAGGATTATTATTGCCGCTTCCATAGACATCATTGTGTATTTTACAAACTCAAAATATTTTTTTTGCTAGTACTTATGTGTATTTAAATGTCTGAAACCTAAAATAAACATTATGTGGTTGAAAACACTGAATAGTTGTGATATATGACAGCACTGAGTGCGTCCGTCTCTGGCTCAGCGCCAGCCAACGCGCGAAAGCACGTTTGAATTTGGCTGTTGATCACGTGATGCACTGACCGTTCTAATCACACCGGTGTGATCGTACGCTCCAGGGACCAGCCAAGACTGATCACACCGGTGTGATCGTACGTGTGAAAGGGTTAAAGGGGTCCTATTACCTTCAGTCTTTAGTGTGTAACAACGCTGTTTTACCATGGTCTGCAAAGTTACAAAGCACAAAGTCACCCCAAAGTGAGCTATTCTTTTTATCGGTGCGCACTGTTTCTGAACTCCCTGAAACGCCTCCATTGTAAAGGGACGAGGCCTAGTTGAGTTGCACTAGTACTGTGTTGAAACTCGTGGTTATGTTAAGGGACAGACATACAAACTGGGAAAAGAGGTGTTGCACCAATGTTAAATATGTGAAACATAATATTTTCTAAACATTCAAGCATGAAAACCTATTCTGAAAAACAAAATCAAGACTTTGAAAAAGAGCATAATAGGTCCCCTTGAAAATACTTAAAAACCAAATGTATAGAAACGGCAAAAAAGAAATTGAGTACCACATTAAGGCAGATCAATACCCAGCGGGGTTCATTTGATGCGGTTAAAGATATCAATCACATTGAGTGCTTACCTGATGCGTGTGAAGGCGTAGAGGAGGTAGGCTGCGGTGTTGCCCCTGTCATCCAGCATCTTGTCGAAGGAAAAGACGTAGTCATTGATGCGGTTGTGCGAAAGGTCTGCATATTTAATGCAGCCAAAGGCCACGGCACGCTGAGCCTTTACCAGCTCCTCCGGGGTCAGCACCTGCAACACACACACTTTCAATGTTGATGACCCTTCATGAGGTTGAAGCAGCCAAGACCTTTTGCCACCTTCAGAAAAACAAGTTACCCAGTATGTGCCGAATAAGCAATGAGGATAAAATTACCTACGTTCTAGGGCTGCCCTCGACTAAACATTTTTCTAGTCGACTAGTAGTCGTTTATTTAAAGGTGCAATGTGTAATAATGTTGAGTATCTATTAACAGAAATGCAATATGACATCCATAACTATGTTTTCAGAGGTGTATAAAGAACTTACTTAATAAACCGTAATGTTTTTATTACCTTAGAATGAGACATTTATATCTACATAACGGCGGACACCCCCTTCTATGAAGGTCGACATATTGTGACGTCATGTTTCTACAGTAGCCGAACGCGAACAAACAGCGCTAAAGAGCGCGTTTCGTCACTACATTGAAAGAGAAGCCGCAGAAACCTAGAAGCTAGCCATAAACACCGTGAGTAGTGACTTTTCCCTTGTCAGTGGTGTCAAATATGTAGTTGGACTGTTTCATGTAACTTAGTTCTTCTCCCTCGCTGTGTTATGGCTTTGCTATGTGGGGATAAATGTGCTGGTTACGTTCGTGAGACAGCTGATTAGTACTCTTGTCATTGACCGTAAAACAGTATGTTACAGGAATCACCAACCCGTCGATCGCGGTCGACAAGTCGATCTTGGAAGCATTTTAAGTCATTCGCGAAGAGTTTTCAAAATCAGAGAAAAAAAGCCTATTGCGTGTAGTAAATGGTGTCTAGGGGATGCGGAGGCGCGCGCGCTGTTACAATCACGTCATTTTTGCCGCGCGCACCTTTGGGCTCATATCATGCGGACGCTTCGAGTTTAAACAAGGCTTTACGCTTTAACCAGCTCAGCCACAGTAACAGCTCATATTTAGCCAGCTAAACTTTTACTACCCTGTAAGAAAACATATATAGTTGCATAGTTTCATGTGGTTCTTCTCCCTCGCTGTATTATGGGTTTGCTATATGGGGAGAAATGTGCTGGTTACGTTTGTGAGACAATCAGCTGATTACTATCATTATATTATATATTAAGACCCTAGATCCTCACCTGACTATGGCTTTGTAAACTTTATCCATGATGTGGTTTATAATGGACTGTGGTACAGAAACAGTGACAATGTTACACACTCTTGGCTTACTCTGGCTATTCTCTGCTGTCTCAGACGACGATATGTTTTTCCCGTTTTAGCCACCGTAGCTTCCTCGAAAGGGAGGGGTGAGCGGTGGGCTGAGTGCAAACTCGCAACCGAACCGCTAGACGTCGCTAAAAATCACACACTGCACCTTTAAGCGATTAGTCGACTAATCGCGCGTTTATATTAATAAACCATAAATCATAATAATGAGCCTTTAACTGCCAATAATACATAGCCTAATCAGCGCTCAGATGCACGCATAAAGCTTGCCACGACGCACTGGCAAAAGTAATGATTATGAGTGTGTAAACATTTTAATAATTTATTGATAATCTTTTTCTGTGTTTTCGGCTGCAATGGGTCTGAAGAGAAGAGAGGTTGTCCCGGTATATTTTTCTGTTGATATGAAAAATCAGGTACATTAAGCAATATAACAGCTGAATTATGTATGTGATGTATATTACGGTGTTATGATGAACAATATGCCTTTCTCCACTGACAATTTGTTGATTTTTAGAAGGCAGCTGTCTGACTCTGAGATAGCAAACGGGAACATGGTTTGTGTAACATTAGCAACACATTATTAGCTGTTAACTAGGGGTGTGCCGGTTTCAGAATTGGTGATGACGGTTATGACGTGAGTCAAATGTGACGGTTCGTAACATAACCGTCGTCGCCCGGGGGTGGGGGGTTATAGGACGTTTGGTTGAATAACTGTTCGTCTGTTATAGGACAACTCGCTCTTAAAATGAACAGCAAGACAACTAGAAGTGAATGTGCTTTCCATTAAATGAATCACACACAGTAAACAAAACCTTAACAAATGAACTTTGCAATTTAGACGCGCAAACTGCGTGCCGGTGCGGTGAGACATACATGCTCGGGCAGATTCGGCTTGAAGTCGGTCATCCTCGGACGCGGCGCCGCGCGCGCTGTTAAAAAAGCCGTGCACAGCCAAGCGAAATGAAGTCTTGCTGGTCTTGCGCACCCAACGCGTCATTTTTTGCGGTGCGCACCTTGCGCTCGTGCGGACGCGTCGAGTATAAACAAGGCTTAAAGCCTTGTTTATACTCGACGCGTCCGCACGAGCGCGAGTCTCCGCTGACTGCGCGCGCACCTCTCCAAACTGACGAGGCGTTTATACTTGACGCGCTCGCCGTTGTGCTATTCTGTGAAACGACAGGGGGCGACTCGGAGTAATTCTCCTCTAAACCACCAGGAATCAGCAGTGAAGAAGTAGTTTGCCGTTTATTAGTAGTTTATTAATAGCTGATTCATATTAAAAGAGTAATAAATGCAGTAGGTGTATTGTACTTTCTTGTACAAACTCGTTAAACAAATGAAGCCTTATTGAAGAGTGTTGAAACCTTAATTTCATCAGCAGGGCTTACTTCTGCTATTGTAGGCTTATTTTATAAATGTAAGCAGTTACTTTAGACAAGTGCAAACTGGGTGCTTAATGCAAATGTGTTCCTATTCACAAAATGAGAGGCTTTTATGGTCGCCCATCAATGCAAATGTCTCTGTGTATAAAGGATCATAAACATGCTGATACAGACGTACCAGTTCGGCCTGATTCGGCTCGAAGTCGTTCATCTTCGGATGCGGCGCCGCGCGCGATGTTGTCTTGCGCACCCAACGCGCACGACCGCCGACACCGCAATTACGTCATTTTGCCGTGCGCACCTTCGCGCTCTTGCGGACGCGTCGAGTATAAACAAGGCTTTACTCCGTGTCAGCGAGCGCTCTGATCGGTAAAGGGGGACAGACCTCTCCCGAATCATCTCCAGCACTCAGCCTCCGACGCACCACTAACTCCGCCTCCGTTTCCCTCGTAAGCTGATATTAGTATTTAAACATTCTCTATGATAAAAAATGTTTGTAAAAAATATTTTAATAGCACGATTTTGGCGGTTATAGAGTTCTAATGACGGTGTTCAACTATAACCGTCGGTCTCACGGTTATATAATAACCGTCACACCCCTACTGTTAACACATTACTAGTTGATAATGTACACAAGCAAAAGGCTAATCATATTAATTACTGTTATGTGTCCGACATTGTAGATAGCGATACATAAAACGTGGTACCATTCTGATACATCGACTTGTACCAATTCACTCTTCCACTTCTCCTGAATCAGTTTCTGGTTCAAACATATATGGCTGAATTAAACCAGTATTTCCACTTGCCACCGTGCAGCGTTTACTACAGTAAAGTTGACAGAGTGGATCAGGTATTCTGAGCTGGTGTGAGTGAGTGGAGGCGGGGCTAATTTGCATATTCATGGATACGCGTATATTAAATGAATACTAAACTATTTAAAGGCATGAAGACATTATTTTTTTCCCACCGGAAAAAAAAAAATGCTAAATGTCATTTTGGTGATCAAAGATGAGTTTTAAGGGATAAAATTACTGACTACAGGGGGATTTTAAGTTTCTGAAAGCCTTCCAGTCAAGAGCAGTTTGACTACTTATGACATCATATACAGCGGCAGATCTAATAGATCTATATCCTGTCTGTTTAATCCTATAATACATAACTTACGGTGTTTACATTAATTAATCGTCATTAAAGCATTTTAAGATGCAAGTGCACACAGCCGCGGGCGCTCTTCACGAAGCGCACGCGAGCTTATGGAAGTCTGTCAGTAAGTGAGTTATGTATTGAAATAAGCTTACTGCTTTCCAAACGGCATAATTGATGCCTTCGTAGAGCATTTGAAGTGGAAAACACTGGAATGCCGGAGGGCAAGACATTTTGTAAGTGTAACAACGAGCAAAACGCACGTTTCTCACAAAGCATATATCCGATGCAATAAAGTGTGCGATTGCCCTTGTAATTCGCTTCAACCTTTTCGAACTTTATGGAAGACTATTTTATGGACGGTTCGAGGGTTTTTGCTTTTCTGTATGTGTGTGGAATTGCAAGACTACAGCTGTTCCTAAAGCACAAATACGACAAATAGTACCAATAGTTTTGCCAGAAAACCAGAATTGCTCCATAATCGCGATGCATCGGAAAAACCCATTTTTATCTTCCACCCCTAGTGTTCAGAGTGCTTTAAAAAGATGAAAAAAATGGCTTCAGATCAGCAGATCAGATCAAATATTGGCTCTGTCCTACATCACTGATTATGCTCACAGGATCATTGCATGATTACACACCTGCTAACTTTTTTGCCTAATTTAATGCAGCATATGCTAATTTCAATATTCCTGACAAATAAGGCACTTGGCTAAAGTCTGATTCACTTTAGGGAAAGTAAGTCTTTTTTTATACTTGGTACATCTATAAAATAATAAAATCTACAAAAAAAAACAACGTTTTAATTGTGTGTTTGCCTTTGACGTTTCCAAGTAAGGCTATTCGAGGACATTTACTTTGCTTACTTGCGTCTGAAACAATATAATTGTCTTTTTTACAACTCCTTTACTGTCAGAAGCTCACTCGTTTGCGAGATATATCAATGTAGTGAGTGAGCCATTAGGATGCTCTTCATTTCTGAGTACAAAGGAGTTGTGAGAAATATAGGCAGTAATTGTCATTAGCACATCTGGTCTCATTTGAGATCCATTGATCTCTTCTGAATCGAGCTGAAGTACTCAGGCACACAAAAGGTTTCAGGGTGAGAAGCATAAGAAGGTGCTAGTTTCCACTGAGTTTTTTGGGGCTCACCTTATCTCTCTCTTTCTCCTTCAGTTTGTCCATGGATCTTTTCAGTCCCTCCTCCAGAAGGTCCATTAATCGCACCGTGTCCCCTGAACGAGTCTTGAACTTTTTCCTGGGATGGAAATTCCATGTTTATTAAAAAAGACTCATGGAAATGTGGAATCAGTGCTCTTCAAATACATCATGCAAAACAATATTTCTATGACAGCTAAAACTAGTGCTACATGAGCCACTAGCTGATTTACTAGATGACAACTGATTAATCGGTCAATTATTTCTTTGATAAATCGTACATTAAATATTCTATTGGGTACCTTGCAAAGGTTTCTCCTTCAAACAATGCTATGGTTTAAAAGGTAAAAATTACAAAATAACGTAATTGGAAAAAAAGACCTTTCAGCAGATAAACCACCAATGCTAGCATGCACATTATTTCCTCTGAACACCGAAGTGTAATTATTTTTCATTAATCCTACCGTAATCCAGCTATCGTTCATATAAAAATACAATTTTTTTGCATTTCATCAAATCTGATGTTGAACAGCAAATATTGCTTTAATCAAAAATTCATTCCATTAATGCTGCGCTCCATGTAACTAAAGCTAAGTATTCAAAGTGTCGCACTGACAGTGACATTTAATTACACTTTTTGCCAAAAAGAAATGCTTGCATTATAAGAGTATATTCAAAAGTTAAGGTTCGGTAAGATTTTTAATGTCTCTGAAAAAAGTCTTATGTTCACCATGGCTGCATTTATTTGTTTGATCACATATAAAATAAAAACTGTAACATTGAGAAATATTATTACAATTGTATTTAAAATAACTGTTTTTAACTGTTTTAAAATAACAATTGTATTTAAAATAACTGTATCTGAATATATATTAAAATGTCATTTATTCCTGTAATGCAAAGCTGAATTTTCAGCATCGTTACTCCAGTCTTCAGTGTCACATGACCCTTCAGAGATCATTCTAATAAACATTTCTGATTGTTATCAGTGTTTGAAAACATTTCAAAAGAACAGTTGTAACATTCAAAAAGTTTTTACTGTCACTTTTGATCAATTTAATGCGACTTTGCCGAATAAAAGAATTAGAACGCAATTCGAAAGTAAATCTTTTGAACCGTAGTTTGTGTAAATGTTTTATTTTTCATAGAAATGCATTTAAACTACTTTAGGGTCACACCACAGGTTCGTTGTGGTCACGCACAAAGACTTTGTTGATTATTTTCTTAATCCATTATTAGGAATTTTATTGATTACTAGTTGTTGCAACACTATGGGTCATCCTAGTGAAAACATGATGCTGACAAAAGGTGACTTCCATACTGATCAATACACTTACTTGTCCTCCCCGAGCACCACGCCGAAACCTGCATGTTCTACCCGTGTGACCTTGGGATCATACCAGCCTATCAACTGAGCAGCAGCAAAGACCACCTGGAAGTGCATTGCCTGCCGTACATCGTATAAAAATACAGAGAACATTTAGTTACATGACCATCAATACAAATAATACACCAAATAAACAAAAAGTTCTACACAGTTTGGATCAAGATCCTCTTTTTGGATTTTGGATAAATCCTTAAATCAATTTTAACCAAAGAAAGCATATTTCCTATCTAAACAAAGCAGAATTGTAAACTAGCAGTGTTGATAGAGATGCGAGCAGACCGAGTTCCTGACCTATGCGACATTAATATTTGAATAGGTGGGGAGTCTATTGCGCACATCTATAAACATACAGAAATTTGAATTCTGTGTCTCGCCCAGCGCCCTCGACATCTGCTTCATGTGTCCTCATGCGCATCAGATAACTTTGGGAAGGCTTGTGCCGTTCAAGATTTCCCCAACACTCTCCATTACAAACCCATACACCCACACACCTGGCCGCTGTCAGTCACGTAGATGATGATGTCAGCCTTCTCGTCAAACAGACGATTTTTGATGGCAGCCAGATCGGAGGTATCGTATGTATAGCCTCCGTCCGATTTGACAACCGTCAGGGGAATAGACTGGCCCGGAGCAAAAACTATCTTCCTGCCCTCGTCCAACTCCACCAGCCCTGGTGAGAGAGAAGAGCATCAGCAGGGAATGGGAAATTGGATGTATAGTAAAGCTAGAGTCTAAAAATCAATCTTGAAACAACACTGCCCCCCACTGGACATGTGCGGATAGACATGCAATGCTTTTTTTTAAAGGGATGTTCCGGGTCAATCAATTTTTGTCGATTGGCACAGAAAAGACTCGGTTTCTAAAAACAAACAAAAATTGTGTTTACAGTATTGTACTTACGGTTGCACTGCACCAGAGTAAACATTAAACACTGTTTTGGAAGAACAGCCACTAGTACATGACACCAGTGCAATAAAATGACATATCAGCCTTGCCTGTACAACGTTATATTCAATCTTAAAATCACGATGTCAATGTAAATCTTCGCAAGGATAACTGGGACTGTTCAATTGTCAATTATTCTTCAGAACAAACACTCAAACAAATATTAAGCAATTCAAAATAATAAATGAACAAAAAAAACCTAACTAAATAAAATGGAAATAAATATTAAATAAAAAATAAAATAAAAAAATGAACGACACAAATAAAAAGTAATACATTTAAAAGTAATAAACAAAAAAAAAATTAAATTAAAAAAAAAAAATACAAAACAAAATAATAAATAAAACAAAGATACAAATAAAAATAAATATTAATAAACTAAAAAATAAATAAACAAAAACAAACTAAAATATTTTATAACTAAAATAATAAAATAGTAAAAAAAAATTATATAAAAAAATACACACTTTATTTTATCCCATCTTAAAAGTGAAGTCCATTATTTTGGTACCACTAGCAGCACAAAACAGAGTTGCAATCTGGACTGCCTGTTTGTCTGAACAACAAAAGATTTGAGAAATTATTGATGCAAAAAATGTATGCACTTCTTTGTGTTTTGTGGCTCCAGATCGATGCGTGTTAGCTTTGAGCCCATCAGTATTATGGTGTATCCCTAAAAGTTCCTAAAATAAACTTTTAACCCTTTGATACGTCCCACCCACACTTCCTGTTTTAATAAGAACCACAAAAACACAGGAAATAAAGCAACATATTAAAATGTATTCAAATGTCAATAGACTATGATATCTGTTCTCAAAGCAAGCAAACAAAATATTTGTATATCAAAGTTTACTATTAGTGACTAAGACAACAGACTAAAGAAAGAGTCAAAGAACCCTCCATCTGTACCTTTTTCCTCAAACTCTTTCACCACGGCTGTCATCATGTCCTGGTAGAAGGACTCTCCTCTCTCTTGTATGCGAATTTCCAGGCAGTCGTAAATCTTTTGAAACTCTGCATCAGCAAAGCGGACAGAAGCGGAAGGGACAAGAAGACGGTTTAATTACAACAGTCACACCACAGGGAAATCAAATGCAGCACCCTCCTGGTTTAGCAAAGCCTGATTGGACAGCATCAGCAGAAAAAACACACACTAATTGACCTTCATTAGGCAAGCCTCAGTGGGGGAACGAGGTTTGATTAAAGGGTAAAGGTAGATGCTGTCACATCAGAGTCTAGAGCTGCTGTCGCCGGATGCTGGTGAAGGGCATCTGTGCTCGAAGTGTTTAAAGTGTTCCAACTTGTTTTAACAAACATTTTTCCTCTGCAATAAATGTAGAAAATGTGTGAGTAATGTCTCAGCTTATAAATGTCGGACGTATTATAGAATTAAATCAAAATGACAGGTAAAGCGTCTAAAAATGATAACATTTCAGACATGAAAGCTCTTAAATGAATTACAATATTTGGAACAGAAGCTTCACTACTTTAGAAAAACACATAATCCTGTCCAGAAGTAATGCGAGTAAATGATGACTTTCATTTTTGGCAGTATTATTATTATTTTGTTCTAGTTACTGGTATAAACTATATAGACACTGAGTCCACGCTTATGTTAACTTACTACTAAGATGCAGTTATATACTGACCTCTACTGTCCTTATAAAATATTAGGTAACACTTTAGAATAATGGTCCGTCATTATTAGGTAATGCAGGACAAATGAGTGGTACTACATGAACACTTCAGTTACTACTATTAACTAACATGGAAACAAGATTAACTAATCAGTGGATGAACCAAACATTACTTAAAAGAGTCTAAACCCTGGTGATGTCATTGTTCGGTCTCGCGGCATCCTAAATTTGGTCAATGTGCACTTTTAGGCTTCAATCCCATTGGAGGAATTTGAGGGAAGTCTGCCTGAGTAGATGCTGCAGTTTGCATGCTCCTTTGAGAAGAAAATAATGTTTTTATCCATTAAAAATCTTGTACAGCACTTTTAAAACATAACAATAAATGCAAATTTTCATAATGCATTTTCATAAAATGTCAAATAAAATAAATAAAACATCTACTAGATTAATATAAGTATTTTAAAATTATTAATATAGTTTTAAATTGTGAATGCAATAAATAAAAATGTGTTGCATTATGAATATAAAACCTAAAATATAAGACTGCAGTTGGTAATATATTTTAAAGTCTAACCAAGGCATAATTTAATTGATCAAAAATACGGTACAATGCCATACTGTGAAATATTATTACAATTTAAAGTAACCGTTATCAATTTTAATATATTTTCAAATGTATTTTATTCCTGTGAATTGCTTCAGTCTTCAGTGTCACATGATCCTTCAGAAATCATTCTAATACGTTGATTTGCTGCTCAAGAAACAATTATTATAAATGTTGAAAAGGTTCATATTTCTGTGGAAACTGTGATACGTTTTGTTCAAGATTCCTTTATGAATAGTAAAATCAAAAGAACAGCATTTATTTGAAATCTTTTGAAACATAATAAACGCCTTTAATGTCCCTTTTGAACAATTGAATACATCCTCACTGGATAAAAATATGAATTTCTCACAAAAGAAAAAGTTATAGGTTGTGTAGATGTTTGCATCTTTGATATTTTGTCCGCTTCCTTTACCAGTTAACAACTCACATTATCCTTAGATAAATAAAGTAGGGCAAACTACATCTTATTGCCATTTCTTGCTGGCTCAGCTGATATTCTCTCCACACTGCGGGCTGTTGTTTCAGAGAATAATGTAACGCAGAGCGTGTCGGCTGTAAATGCCTCTAGGGGGCACATGCTGTCTGTGGAGGTTTGTACTAGCATTAATGTGGCAAGGCTTTAGTCTATTCAAAACTTGATAAAGTGAGAATGACATTCTCAGTGTGCCTCGCACGTACCGTTCCGGGACACGTCACAGATCAGGTTCCAGGCTTTGATGAAGTCTGTCTCTTTGCTCTGGAGTTTAACCACACACTGGTAGGCCCTCTTCTTAAACTCTTCATCCTCATCAAACCTCTTCTTAGACTCCTGATAGAGATGAGAGAAGAAACGAGTTGAACAGCTTTGAAAAGTAAAACATTCAGCTGAACAGGATGAAAGCTCTTAGCGAGACCAAGATTCCTTCAAAGCCTCCTGCAAAGATACTATATTACAGGGGTACCATAAAAAAACTCTACATTTTTGTGGAGACAAGATGCAAATACAACCATAGATCTAAATTAAAGCATAACTCAATCAGTATAGTGTCCCCAAAACAAAACAAAATTATTAATAATAAGAGGGTAAAGGTTGTCAAACTTCACTTTTATTTTTTCTCTCAACTGTGTAACACAGCAGTTTAGCAACCAAACATTCTGTTGGGTAAGCAAAATGGCTCTGTAAGCAATAAGCAAAGCATCAAATGCATCACAACAAATGAAAAGGCACAAAGTGTTCGGACAGACCTGCAGAAAACAGCTGATTCTTGCAGTTTGTGCGCATTTTTTTGAGATTTTGCCTATTTTTATGACAGAGCCAGTATAGAGGGAAAAGGAAATTATAGGAGTTTTTGAGTAACACTTTATTTTAAGGGTCCATAACTATGCAGTAGTTAAGCATTAACACACCACTAGTTCATGATTTACTGAACATATTGTAAAGACATATTAGTTATTATTTATGCAGTAGTTAAGCTTTTACATAATTAACTGAACACATATTAAGGGCATATTAACATTATTTGATTAAACATTTGAAGGATAAATAAGCAGAAATAAGCCAATAATTAATGGTTAACTACATACAATAAATGCTTTTTATGGTTTGATTTAAACAATGTTATAAATCAAAAAATTAAGTAACGTGGTGTAAACATTGGTGAAATGTTGGTGAAACATCGGCAAGTACGATCAGCAGTCAATATCCATTTTTAAACATCCCTTCAGGTTGTATATAACATGTACTCACTTTGTAGAAAGACTGAAGGTCACAAATTGGCGGGCAAACACTGAGATAATTTGGGAACTTGTCTTTCAAATGAGCAATGAGCATCCCGAACTGTGTCCCCCAGTCTCCAACATGGTTCAACCTGACAGATAGAGATAGAGGACGAAAGGATTAAAGAGATGCACTCAAACAATAATGAACACACAGATTACTGCTGGCCAATTAATTCCAATGTGTTACGCAGCACGTTTGAGCTTCAGCAAGAACCAATGAGGTTCATCCTCGTGTTACGAGTGAAAACGTGACGTGGTGGACTGACTGCCTTAGGACTGACTGCCTTAGGCCCCATCCACACTACGGAGACCTTTTGCTACGTTTGCACCTCCCGTCCAGACTAAAATGGCAAAAACAAAGACCTAAAACGGAGAAGTTTAAAAACGCTGCCGACCCTGTTTTGCGTTTTGAATCTCCGAAGGGCGTTTTAGTGAGGACGGGTCAAAACTGAGGACTTTAGAAACGATGACGAAGAGGCTCACGCTCGGCTCTCTGATTGGGTGTCATCAGTCATGGCGTATCCTTCCCTGAAGCGTTACTGACTTTGATGTCTTTGCTAGCAGCTGTTGTGCAAGTAAATTCTGCATTTTACAATGCTATAACTGCCTACATGCGCCGGAGGCAAGCTATTGCTCGAGCGATCTGTGACAATTCCCGTTTGCAGCGGCGGGATCGACCGTAGATGGAGCGTCGCTCTTTGCAGAGGTAACTTAGCTACTTTCTTCGTCAAATCTGAAGAATGGTCAATCTGTTTCCTGTTTACACCGGCCCGCGCATGCCCAGTGTAGGTGAATGGTCCCGTGATCCGCGTTTTCAGTTGTTTTAATGTGGACGGAGATCAATTCTAATATGCAGCTAAAATGCTGGTGTGGACGGAGATGGTATTCGGTTTAATTCTACGTTTCTAAAATAAAACGCAGTAGTGTGGACACGACATTCACTGAACAAAAACTTCCTAACTTCATTTGACCTGGTTTTTGGTAAAGTGTTAATAATATAATGACACATGCAAATATATGATCACATATAAAGCCACAATATCAAATTTGACATCACTGTGTTTATTATTAAAAATGTTTTTTTTTTTTTTTTAAAGAAAAATGTCACAATATGAGGTAAATCCGGCCCTGGTTGCAGCCAGTGGGAATAATAATATTCATAGATCTAGCCTATGTGACATGGTTGTGTAAGATTTGGCAATAGTGACAGCCTAGTCAAAAGAAGCGGGCCAACTCCCCAATTCTTTTAAACATGTTTATTGGGAAGTGCTCGTAACATGCTCAGGCTCGTCTCATAATTCCTCACACAACGCGAGCCGCGTCCATATGAGCATCAACGATTTCCACGCAGATTCTTCCGACAGCAAAAAAAAATTTGCACCAATTTTTCCAGCAATCAGTAATCGGTTCCGATCAATCGGTAGACCTCTACAACAGATATTTCAATTGTATGAAAGCTCACAGTTGAGCTTCACAACTAATACACACCAACCTTAGCACATCATAACCCAGGAACTCAAAGAGTCGACACATGCTGTCTCCAATAATGGTGGAGCGCAGGTGACCGACATGCATCTCTTTGGCAATGTTAGGTGAGGAGAAGTCCACAATAACCTGAAAAACAGCAATAAGGGTAAAGACCACTTGAAAACACACTGCTTTATGGAACTATTTTGTGATGCATTTCATCACTAGAGTAGTGTTGTCACGATACCAAAATTATTGTTTCGATACCGATACCAAGTCAAGAATTGCGATTTCGATACTTTTTCGATACTTTTCCTGAAAAGGGAGAAACACTCTCAAATATCATTGCTGTGCTTTATTTTAAAACTGGGACAACATTCCAATCATAACACACTAATAAATGAACATTTGAACAGCAGATAGGCTATAATAACCATTTGAACAAAATATGAAATATGAAAAATATAAAAAATAAATTAGAGCAATGACATTCAAGGTAAAAAAAAAACAAAAAACTTAGCAGCATTATCTCAGTTATCATAAGAAACATAAGATTTTATCAATATCAATGCCACTGACGATTCTGCTTATCGATCCGATTCTTTAACGATTCTCTTATCGATTCATGATAGCATTGTGTGGAAAAAAGTAGTCATATGCTTTTTCGGTGGGAAATAACAAGTGTTTTTATTTGTTTTATGTAATTTATGTAATAAATGAAACCTTATTACAAAGTGTTAACGATTAGTTATACACCGATTCAGACAGATCAGTTGTTTTAACCATTCATTAAAACGAATCGGTTCAAATGAGTCATTAGTTCGCGAATTGGACGTGTCATTATCGGACGTGTGCGCGTTGTGTGATTATCCAGGCGGTTACATCCCACTGTCATCACAGAAAACATTTCATGACTGGATAGTTTTTTTCGTTTATTTAAAGTGTGGTTTATGTCAGCTGAATGTGCGGAACGATTCAGAGAAGATAAGGCAACGTATTTTACCACAATTTACACCCAGCGGTAATTCAGAAAAAAAAAAAAAAAAACTCCGAATGCTTCACATGAAACTTTAGTCTCCCGACCTTACCATCGTGTCGAATTATTTTGATTAATATGTGCGAGGGAGAGAGAGAGAGCAAGACAGCGCTTAGTTTTGAGACGGTGAAGCCTTGTTTATACTTTCGCCTGGCTCCGCAGAGAGAGAGAGAGAGTGCGCGCGCGCGACCGGGGCTCGCTCTCTCTCTCTCTCTCTCTCTCTCTCTGCTCGTTCAGTTCACGCGCCCTGTCACACGCGCATGAGGAGAAAAACACAGACGTCCATAGGGAGGCACTGGAAGCGTGCGTTGCACACACCAACATGCAATACTCTCTTACAAATCTGGAACGCGGTCATTCTTAGAAGTATCGATACTAATAAATTTAGGTATCGTGAAGTTTTTAATTTCCGAGTATCGCGATACTTTTGAAGTATCGGTGCACCGTGCAACACTACACTAGAGTGAAACTCCTACCTTCTTTTTCTTCACCAGTGGTGGAGGCTGAACTCCATTCACAAGCAGGTTTGAGAGAAGTTTAGAGACAAACATTCTCTTGAGATGAATGTTGATAAACCCTACAATGCAATATGTACTTGGTTATTTATAATAAATCTTTAAAATGATGGAGAAAAAAAGATCTCGGTGATAATGATGTACTGAACAAACCTGGTCCTGCGATTTCTGTTCTCTCAATGAACTCATTGTTGGGAACGTTTTGGATAATCTTCTCTGCTATCTCCCTGGGGCTGACCTTCTGTCCTTTAGCTTTCATCATCTTAAAACATACATTTACAAATATAATTCCATACAACTGGACAAAAGAAACAATTCACATCAACATTCTTCAAAACTTTTTCTTTCGACAAAAAGTTTGGAACGACATTAAAGGGGAGCATCAGAACAGTTCACCAAAAAATGAAAATGTGGACATCATATAAAGAAAACTGACCTGAGACATCGCCATGGCACTGTTACACTGATAATCGCCAAACTTGGCCTGCTGGTTGGGGGAGACCGAAAGTGGCGGGTTCTCTAGGTCAGGGTAGGCGGTACTGATGGCCTTCCCAAAGATCTGCTGCAAACTCTGGTTGATGTTCAACATCGCCTTGCCGTTTTGGCTCATCTCCTCCTGTAAACTCTGAGGAAACACAGTGGCAACAGATTTAATTACTGAATTGCAGTGTTTATTTTAGTATGTACTATGTATATGTTCACACAGCATCAGAATATGGTTGTCAGTCCTGTATTTAAGTCCTTAATACAGTTACGTTCACACACAGTACGGTTATCTACGGGAGTGACAACCGCAAAATTTCAGGACTCACAACCGCATTCTCGGAAAACCTGCGCTGTGTGAACGGAACCGGACTGGACAACTGGTTTTCTGTCACATCAAACATTGCGAGAGAGACGCTGCGCTCCACAGATGCATGTCTACCGTGTGTTGAGGGTTTTCATGTTTGGTTTCAGTCATTTATAATGATGGAGATATGAGCTGTGTGTTAGCTGAAGGTTTTAGATAATGTTTCAAATGCTCCACTCTCCACCCAGATATAAAAGCTGATGTCGGTTAATGAAGATTTGACGGATGAATTTGCGGCTCAATTGGACTCTTGTTGTGTCAAACGTGATGAGGCTTTTCAGTTTTATAGATTTCACCATCTTTGATATCACTTTGTTCACTGTCACTTTGGTTTACTGATGATAAGAGAAAACAGGCTTGACTCCCGTTGCACGTTCATACAGACAGTATTCGAGACGCTACTGTAAGTTGATGTGTGAACGGGACATTTTGAGACTCACACCTGTAAGTACCGTAATTGCAGTTGTCAATCCTAAAAACTGACAAGTGTGAACATAGCCTATTATAGTATTTAATCATATTTAGAATTAGCTTTTATTTTATTTTCAGTTTTCATTTTTGTTTTAGTTTTTTATAATAATTCTATTTAGCTTATAAACCAAGTATAATAATGTTATAATTAACTGTGGTTGCAATTATCCATGAGATCATGTATTGCATTATAAGGTGCATTGCAAGGTATAAATAATGCATTAAGAATAGTTTGATATACATCGGTGGTGGTTGAGGAGATTCCCCCTTCTATGTAAAGCGCCTTGAGTGCAGAGAAAAGCGCTATATAAATGTAATGAATTATTTATTATTATACAGGCAAGTGTAACCTAATTTTGAACCCTTTAAGTTTTAGTTAACATTAACAGCACTGCTAAATTGTTTCAACAAATCCCTAATTCAATGGAAAAAAAGACACGTTTACTTTATTTATAATTTTATTAGATTCAGGCAATGTAACAAACAAGTCACAGAGAAACTGATTATCCTTTTGTGAACGTCACATTGTGGCATTTACAACCCAAAACTATTTCATATGAATGCACAGATAAAAAATTTGGCCAGTACTAAGCTAATAATTATTTCCATGTTATGGTTGATAACCTATAAATGGCAGAATATAATTTATCATCATTTTTGCCATTATAAATGTAATTAAATTAAAACAAAAAACTAATAATCAATCCTTTTAGTTGTTACAAGTGAATTTAGGCATGTCATGTAATGTCTCTTTAGACATTACACTAACTATAAGTAACATTGCAACTACATGTCAACTAGCAGTCATTAGCGTATCAATCTCAGTATAATTTTATGTAATGCCATGTTAGCATCTATGGCTACCTTTATGGCAAAAACTGAATTACAAAAATACAGGAGTTACATATATGCAATAAAAATAAAAACCAAGCGAGCAGAAAAAAATACAGCAATTAATATTATACAAGATTTTTAACATTAACGCATCTATGATAAAAATTCTAAAACATTTTCTGGTAATATCTTACTAAACAAGTCCTAAAAGAGCAACATGCAGGTTGAATTTATAACTGAATTAATACTTGATATTGTCTGAAGAGGTCTTTTAAAAACACATATGTAGAAATTACTAATGAAATCTCATTTGATGTAGAGATTTTGATGAAAATGTGCTAGGCTCTGGAATACGCCTTTCCCGCTAGCAACGCGTCATATGACGTAGGCCGAGGCAAACAAGAGCTCGCGGTCAGCTGTAGTTAGAGCGGTAGTGAGAGACAGAGAAAGTTTTAGATCGAGTTTTAGAGATGCCATAATGGTAAATTATTGTGTTTGTGCTGGTTGCACGAATTCCAGCCTGTCAGGACATCGTGTCCATCATTTTCCTTCTAGGAAAAACAAGGCTTTTCGTTCTTGGGTGCGTTTTGTGCAGGTGAAGAGAGCAGACTTCACTGCCGCGTCTGTCACCACGCACATTTCACTCCGGAGAATTATAGACCTGGAGATTTTTTGCACCACAGACAGATGGTTTAATTAATACGGATTTGCAAACATTGCATTTTGCTGTCTTGCTCTGCGGTGTTTCCAGTGTGAAGTATTTACACACAGCTCAATGCTGTCCTGCTTGCTGGCTGCAAACTGCGGAATGGATTTCCTGAGGGGGGTCTCTGTGTCTCATTGAGCCGCGCCTCCGTTCAGGAAATCCATTCCACAGTTTGCTGCCAGCTAGCAGACTGGCCGGCGGGAATCACTTTTGGAGTCATTTCAGCAGGATATCGGATATCTCCGCAGGTTTGGATCGGGAAAATCAGTTACATGAATTACACTGGTATCTGTCCCGATACCGACACTGGATCGGATCGGCCCCATCCCTACCTGTGGGCCATAGGCATGCTCGTCTACATCGGAGAACTCGGTTTCTTCATTCACATCCATTGTAACCTGAGCTTGAACTTGACCAGACTCCCTCGCCCATCGTCACTTCCGGTTAGTGCTTTATAGACGCGGAAGTTATTTTATCACAATTTATCTCAAAATATCGTTAATGGCTAAATATATATTACTCCAGTTCCGAAAATCTAGTTGTTTTATCATCAACATACACTATGCTATTTAGGGGTGTCCAACCTGCATGTTGCTCTTTAAGTGAGCATAAAAAATGCTTTCTGCTTGCATTAAAAGTGGGACAGTCCAATAAAATGTATTTAATGGAAAGGGGGTGTCTTGCAAAACACATAAAGTTGGGTCTTCGTCTTAAAAAAAATGCATGTGTCTATTCTTGTATGACCTATACGACATTGGGTGAACACCACTTGATCAAATATTGTTTTAAGGGAGATTAAAAGTCTGCTTGAGATTTCAGGATGGATTTCATGTCATTTATTGTTTGTACACGTATCCCACTTTTCATGCCACTTAATAATGAATATGTGACAGCAGCTCTAATGTCTAAGGAATTTGACATTCTTCTACGTCCAGCAGTCATTAGAGTATTAGTAGACTGTCTGCTTATTATCTAACACTTTATTTTGATGCTCCCCAAGTTAAAGACATTCTACTGACTATATGTAACTTTGCAACAACATGTCAACTTATTCTACTAATTCTAACACTAACCCAACAGTCTACTAACACTCTGAGTTTACATGTTAGTTGAGATGTAGTTGCAAATGAATGAGTTAGTTGACATGTAGTTGCAAAGTTACTTGGTTAGTAGAATGACTAAAGTGGACTATCAAAATAAAGCGTAACGAAGTATGAAAAAACATTAATTTTGAGATTTGTTAAAGATTACATTAAATATAAGATTCACTTTAAGTGAGTGTAAGATGAGGACAAAACCGTTTATAATTGTGATAATAAGCCGGGAAATCAGAATGCACAATAAAATATCCAATATTGACGGATACTGATAAATTTGTTAAATATCTGATAATCGATATGCCATAATGCATAATTACAGTGCAGATTGTTTTGTGATCCTCTTACAATGTACTAAAGCTTTGCAAATACAAGTTTTACAGAACATTCCATAGGAATGAACTAGAAATTTCCACAAACAGCGAAATTTTTCAATAAAATGTGCTCATGACGTGTGCAAATTATTGGGTTTTATTCTTACATTAGCTGCTGACACATAATTGAATGTGTGAAATGCATGTAATTCCACAGAACATGCATTGAACATTCGCAGTGAAGGTCAAACTGTCGCACTACAAAGATTACAATCATCTCATTTAAAGGAAGAGCACATCACACTCACGGCTTTCAGGATGTTGAGGCGGTACTTCAGACGGGAATTCTCCTCTCGTAACTCATCCAGCTGTGAAGAAGTGAAGTTCAGCTGCTGTGGATCTCTAAGCCTCTCGATTTCGTCTTGGAGTAACTTGATTTCTCTCTCCTACATGGCATATTGAAAACACAGAAAATCTCAGGAAGGCAAGGGACAAAGATCACAACCAACAGATACCACATATCTCAGTTATAAGAAGTATTTCAAAGTGCAAGGTGATTGTGGCAGTAACAATGAGACACGTGACGTCACTAATATTGTTTGGTATGCTAACACATTTCTATTTCAGTTTCACTTTGACTGGGAATGTGGTTACTTTCCTATAGGCTTTCTGTTCAAAGTAAGAACAAAAAAACACCACATTCACAAGCATACGTCTTTGCATTTAAGAATTAGCTGTGGACTTCAGTTTCATGATGCTCATATTGTAAATGTACAATAACTCTCAAAGAATCCTAGCTCTGCAGCTCACTAGATATTAAGGCACCCTCAGTACAGTATGTCATGATCTATTATCCTCATATTTAAATAAACCAGCTAGACTAAAGTATTTGACATCCCATCCGAACCGAATGTGTACGTTGAACGATCATGACTGTCAGACCTGATGCGTGTTTCAGTCTCTTACGTCAGAACACGAGAAAAACATGGAAACATGAAACACAACTTTTAAATGTACAAAACTTTTAGCGTTTTAATGCAAAGCTGACCTGTCGCTGAAGTCGGGACGTGTGTTCGCCAACGGGGTCGCCCATTCTTTTCCAATAAAGTTAGGTAAAAACAGCCACAAATTCTACAAATGTGCACTTCTCCAACGTAAAGAGTCGCTTTCACCGGCTTCGTCGCGTCACTTCCGTTTTACCAGCGAATGGTGAATCAGTTGGACGGGGATCATAAAACCATAGACAGTAAAAGCATAAAACTGCAGAAAGCAGCAGTCGTGCAAAAAAAAAAAACCCTTTCGTTTTCTCCATAGAGGAATTGATTTGGATTTATACCTTACAAACCTTTAAAGAAAGATTTACAGTGAGCGATATATTTTAATAATCGCACATCATGGTGAGAAACTACATTACCCATGATTCTGCAGATGATATCTCCACAGTCAGTGTACTTTTTGATAATTTCATTAAATGAAAACCAGCTCGTTTATTGTTTTTTTGTTTTGTTTTTTTTTTGGGGGGGGGGGGGGGGTTAAACGAACATTTTGATTTTGGCTCGATTTTCCTCTTTTTTTCCATGAATTGTTTCCATTTTTTTCCAGTTTGTGGTTTACAAATCGGTTTATGATTTCGATATTTTATTTGCACACGTGGGCGGCGCTGAAACGCCCCTTTCATCTGATTGGTCAAACCGCTCCGCCTTCAGTACGAGCTTTTCTCTCTGTCACTCAGGCAGAATAGTCAGTAGTCTCTGGTAGTAGCCATGGTAGTAGCCTACGAGTGCGGCACTGACATATAATGTCTGAAACCACCACTCACTGTTAACTACGCACAATATTTGAAGCAGAAATATGTTGCTGGTCAGTGGTCACGTAATTCGTGCTGCTGCGAGCCTGCGACTTGCAAGCAACCCCATTAATGTGAGCCACAGACTCAGTAGGCCTACTACGTCTACATATGACAGATTATTTTAGCGTGATGTATTTCCCATTGATAAATACAGTGCAAATAGTCTCTTTGGATAAAAGGGAAGTGGAAATAAAAATCGATAATAGGCTACAATAGGATAACTGTACCATGATAATATGTCCGTTACATTTCCACTCTCGTCTTTTATTTACATCAAAAGGTATGCGTGTGTGAAACGTGTATAAATCATTTAGAAAATCTAATAGAAATAAAGTTATGAATGTAAGCATGTGTACCCTATTCAGTTCACATGAAAAGAAAGAGACAGAACAGAGAGAAGCTAGAATCAGTGAACGTACATTAGCAGGGTTTGGGATTAATTAAAATCATGTCGGTTTAAGAGGAAAACATACCTTTAAAATGTTATTAGTTTTATTATAAAACTAATACAATTTTATTACATACTGAGTTGGTCTATGTTTCTCTGAGTTTTCTTTATTATGTTGGCTTGAGAAAGCCAGCATATATTTAAACATTATTATTATGAATTATTATTAAGAGAAATTGACTCCGCCTAGAACTTTAATGCTTCACCAAACTCAGACTCGCTTATATCTTTTCTAACTGGTCAGACAGACAGACTTACTTTCCCAAAAAATCCATTGACTTGCGTTATCTGAGCAATGAAGGCGTAAAACTTAATGCTGTCCACTAGAGGGGGCGACAGGATAATAAGTGTTTTCTACTCTTAGGCCGCTGTACGTGAGCTGTATCGTTCAGTTTCGTTCCGACAAACGGGGCACTACATTTTCTTTTGCTCAATATGTTCAACGTTAATAAAAGGTATCCAAGCAAAAAGTTCTCCACGCATTATCCTGCAGTTAATGAGAAAAGTGTAATTTATTGGCGCACTATATTGACTGCGTATTGAGACATATAAAACTGTTTAGCTAGATTTTCAACCAATCAGCATCGAAAATGTAAGTAGGTCACAGCCAAAATCAAGCTAATATCACTACGCACATGTAAACATTGAGGAGGACGTAAGCAGCGCATCTTCATCTGATAGCGGCGATCAAGCTCGATTAACACCCGTAAAGTGTATTCTTCATGTCGGAAAAGATGGCGGGAAGGTCCGCAGCCCTTTACTGAACTCCGATGGGAACAAATCAAGCAATGTGCGAAGGAATGGCTCAAAACGTCGGACACTACGGAGCTAGCTATCCCATGGTGCAGGTAAGTTACTTTCATAACATATCAATATTTGTTCATTATCTTTGGGTGATGCTAATTTACAAACTTCCCGATCAGAATCCCGATAAAAACATCGACACGATGAGAGACGTTGTCCTCCGTTGCTTGATCTGTTATCTGGGTGAAAAATAAGATAACCTCATCCATGAGTACAATGTAAGTGACAAGAATTATTCTATATATTTATGGTGTTTTGAGAAATGTATTTGTACATCGTTTTTATTTATAAAAATAGAAATGCAACTTAAACAATAATCTTTTTTCTAAGTAAATTATATAAAGCTAATGTGAAAATATTTAACACAAAATAGATTTTTGTCAGCCACTTATATGAAAAAAGGTAAAACTTTATTTTGATGGTCCACTTTAGACATTCTACTGACTATAAGTAACTGCAACTACTGTACATGTTAACTTACTCTATTAACCCTAACCTAGCAGTCTACTAATACTCTGTGTTAGTTGACATGTTACTATACAGTTAGTAGAATGTCTATAGAGGACCAGCGAAATTTAATTTCCCCCTCTACAATAGTGTCACCAAATGTAATTTTAAATTTATTTAATTTTTTCTTCCTGAATACACCCTCTGTCATTGGTGAAACTGTACTTATGTTATTGTGACCGTCTTTGTGGTCCGCAAAGTGGTGGTCTTTGTGGTTTCAGTGATTACAAAGAAAATAAACTATAATGGTGTCTTAGCATTTTAAGCTGTTATAAGAAATTTTTACAACCGTACACAAATCAAGTTTATAATTATGGACAGACTTATAATGAGACAGACGAGATAAAAATACTTCTTTAATGTTTGTTTTACAGTGTGACAATGGAGATATCCTGTAGCACATAATGAAAATTGCCATCTGCAAGAGGGATTCTCAGGAGGATTTCAGCATCATCTTGGAGGGGATGCAAGTCATGGCTGGCTTGGAAAATCTGGCAAGAGCCTGTGCTGTTCTTCTTGGACTCACGTATGCACTAAACCTCACCTACCCGAAAGAACTGAGGCACACTTTTGAGGCCTTTCAGAAGCTCTTCTTGGAACTGGATGTTTGCAAGTTTTCCCCGAAATTACTAACACTTAAAAACAAACTCATGACTTAGATTGAGACAATGCATTATGACCAAGTTCTGGTGGAAAAAAAAACTGCATTGATTGATGAACGTTTAATATTGTTCTACAAGCTTTCAGCAAGTACAAATGATTTGTTTTGCTACAAGTTATTCACAAGTTTTAGTCAAGAATGTGACTTTTCCAACAGAAATTTGTATGCACATGTTTTTGTGTAACAAAATTATTTTTCTCAATGACATGGAAAATGTTAGCATTGTTTTGCTTTTATTTTTCATATCTTAAAACTGCTGTCTTACATTTTATATAGATTTGTTTTATTTGTGCAAAAAAATACAGAATAAAAGCATGTTTGATAACAAAAAGTGCATTATGAAGTCATTATTATCTTAACCTGAAAAATGCAGTAAATGTTATAATTAAGTCAATTTCATTAATACAAACGAGTAAATTCTGCTTAATTTATTATTGAGACAACTTATATTAAAAAAGCACATTCCACACTAATAATATTAAATGCATCATGTGCCATAGACTAAATAATTTAGGAAATTTTACTTAATTTATTTGGGTAGATTTCATTTCACACAAAAAAAACCCTCAAAATCTACTCAAATATAATACGTGTAATATTGTTACCATAATTGTTTAGAGTATAGCATGTAAAAAATGTGTACATGCAGTGCAGTTACTGCTCGTGTATGCGAATTGACAATTCACCATTAAATGCGTTATTTTGAAAAGTGTTTTTTTTTTATATATATATAGCCTATATATATACACTCACCGGCCACTTTATTAGGTACACCTGTCCAACTGCTCGTTAACACTTAATTTCTAAGCAGCCAATCACATGGCGGCAACTCAGTGCATTTAGGCATGTAGACATGGTCAAGACAATCTCCTGCAGTTCAAACCGAGCATCAGTATGGGGAAGAAAGTTGATTTGAGTGACTTTGAACGTGGCATGATTGTTGGTGCCAGAAGGGCTGGTCTGAGTATTTCAGAAACTGCTAATCTACTGGGATTTTCACGCACAACCATCTCTAGGGTTTACAGAGAATGGTCCGAAAAAGAAAAAACATCCAGTGAGCGGCAGTTCTGTGGGCGGAAATGCCTTGTTGATGCCAGAGGTCAGAGGAGAATGGCCAGACTGGTTCGAGCTGATAGAAGGGCAACAGTGACTGAAATAACCACTCGTTACAACCGAGGTATGCAGCAAAGCATTTGTGAAGCCACAACATGCACAACCTTGAGGCGGATGGGCTACAACAGCAGAAGACTCCACCGGGTACCACTCATCTCCACTACAAATAGGAAAAAGAGGCTACAATTTGCAAGAGCTCACCAAAATTGAACAGTTGAAGACTGGAAAAAGGTTGCCTGGTCTGATGAGTCTCGATTTCTGTTGAGACATTCAGATGTTAGAGTCAGAATTTGGCGTAAACAGAATGAGAACATGGAACCATCATGCCTTGTTACCACTGTGCAGGCTGGTGGTGGTGGTGTAATGGTGTGGGGGATGTTTTCCTGGCACACTTTAGGCCCCTTAGTGCCAATTGGGCATCGTTTAAATGCCACGGCCTACCTGAGCATTGTTTCTGACCATGTCCATCCCTTTATGGCCACCATGTACCCATCCTCTGATGGCTACTTCCACCATGTCACAAAGCTCTAATCATTTCAAATTGGTTTCTTGAACATGACAATGAGTTCACTGTACTAAAATGGCCTCCACAGTCACCAGATCTCAACCCAATAGAGCATCTTTGGGATGTGGTGGAACGGGAGATTCGCATCATGGATGTGCAGCCGACAAATCTGCGGCAACTGTGTGATGCCATCATGTCAATATGGACCAAACTCCCTGAGGAATGCTTCCAGCACCTTGTTGAATCTATGCCACGAAGAATTGAGGCAGTTCTGAAGGCAAAAGGGGGTCCAACCCGTTACTAGCATGGGGTACCTAA